TATTTGCAAATGATACCTCAGACAAAAGTTTGATCTCCAAAATATATAAAGAACTCACTTGACTCCACTCCAGTAAGACAAACAACCCTCTAAAAAAATGGGCAAAGGAGACCTGAACAAAACACTTCTCCAAGCAGCACATACAGACGGCTCAGAGACATATGAAATGATACTCAGCATCACTAGCCATCAGAGACATTTAAATTAAAACCACAGTGAGCTACCACCTCACACCAGTTGGAATGGCCATCATAACCAAATCAACAAGCAAGAAGTGTTGGAGAGGATGTGGAGAAAAGGGAACCCTAGTGCACTGTTGGTGGGAATGCAGACTAGTGCAGCCACTGTGGAAAACAGTGTGGAATTTCCTCAGAAAACTAAAAATGGAACTGCCTTCTGACCCGGCGATTCCACTGCTGGGACTATACCCTAAGAACCCTGAAACACCAATCCGAAAGAACCTATGCACCCCAATGTTCATAGCAGCACAATTTACAATAGCCAAGTGCTGGAAGCAACCTAAGTGCCCATTAGTAAATGAGTGGATCAAAAACTGTGGCACATTTACATAATGGAATTCTATGCAGCAGAAAGAAAGAGGGAGCTCCTACCCTTCATGACAGCATGGTTGGAACTGGGAGCATTATGCTGAGTGAAATAAGCCAGGCAGTGAGGAACAAATACCATATGATCTCACCTATGAGTGGAATCCACTCAACAAAACAAACAAGCAAGCAAAATATAACCAGAGACATTGAAATTAAGAATGAAACGACAGTGACCAGAGGGGATGCGGAGGGGACAGTAGGGAGAAAAGCAGGAAGGGTCGTCAAGGAACATGTACAAAAAGGACACATGGACGAAGCCAAAGGCTGGTAGGATTGAGGGTGGGAGGTGGGGGTGGCTGGGATGGGGTGGAGTTGTGGGAGGGAATGGAGACAATTGTACCTGAACAACAATTAAAACAATATTAAAAAGGAAATAAATAAAAATAAAGAGGCAAATGGATACAATGGAGGAGAAAAATAGGTGGACACCAGCTGGACCGTAGTGAGGCGAGGGAGAGCTTGCCGACCCAAAGTATGCCCTTTGGGACAGTGATTATTTTAAGCTGAATATTTTTAAGAAATGAAAAACTCAGGAAAAACTTTAACCTTCCTTTTATTGGCCTAAAAGAACTTAGACAAGAGGACCTGCTCCAGGAAGGGAGCTATTACCATAGATAACTACAATGTAATATGAACTGTGGTTTAATACGAGCCTCGCAGGGCTCCTTCAATCAGTCCTCCCTGTATCCTGATGTTTCAAGAGGGACCAACATTTCTTTACTAAAAATTAACTCTTTTCATCTCCATGTGAACTTCCCCATTTCACTTTGAAGTATATTCCTGCTTCCTCCTTCTTAGACCAGAATGACATATATACCTCATTTTGCCTTGCTGTCCTTGAAACTCAACACGCTTCTGTGATTTCCCCATGTGCACTTATTAGAACTTGATTTTCTCCTGTTTTTTTTTTTAAATCATCCCCGCATCTGCCTGTTATCACAATCACTTGGGCAGCTTCAAGGAGAAAATAAGTCAAATCTATGTAATTCACAAAATGCCATCCCGAGAATCCTGGAGACCTTTCATTTGGGCTGAGATGTGCGGCAGAGTCCCCATCTGTGACGTGAGGATAAAGGACTGATGCCTCCACCCAACAGCCACTGGGGGCCTGAGCCCGTCACCTGCCACCCACGGTGCTTGGAGGCTGTGTTAGTGTCTTGTTGCTGCTGAAACACATGACCACAAACTCTGTGGCTTATAAAAGGCAACACTTATTCTCTTATGGCTCTGGAAGCCAGAAGTCCAAGACCAGTTTCATGGGCTAAAGACATGCTGTTCACAGGGCTGCTGTGCCCTGGGGACTCTGCAGAATGCCTTTCCTTCCCTTTTCCAGCTTCTAGACCTGCTTTTCCTGCATCTCTTGGCTTGTGGCCTCTTTTTCCATCTTCAAAGCCAGCAGCTCGGCATCCTCAAACCTCCCTCTCTGTTCCGTCTATATGTTGACTTACTTCTCTGTTGTCAGGACTCCCTCTGCCTTCTTCTTATGAGAACATGTGATTATGTTCAGGCCCCATCTGGATGATCCAGGGTTATCTCTGTCTCAGGATTTTTAATTTAATCAGCTCTGCAAAGACCAGCTCTCTACAAGGCTGACTCTCCATATAAGGTAACATCCACAGGCTCCAGGGACTAGGGCCTGGCAATTTGGGGGGGCCTCTAAGTAACCCCAAATGCCACCTGCCGCAGAGCCTTGACTGAAGAGAGCTAAGGGTGCAGCTGCCTGGTCCGCAGCTGGACCGCAGCTTCATGAGAGACCCTGAGCCTGAGGCACACGTGTGAATTCCTCATCCAAAGAAACTAATAGGACAAGAGCCCCCTTTTGAGGCCCTCTTTTCCAGAGCTGGCTGGATCCCAGAAAGCATGACTGACCCTAATTGTTTTTATGAGTCTTTATCCTCAGGATTAGAAAATTACTGGAAGCGCCCTGAAGGCGCAGAGGCTCTGGGAACTTACCAAGCCTGGACCCCGCACCCAGAGATACGGAAACAAGCTGCAGACCCGCTGAAACACCCAGCTCTACCGCCGCCCTGTCGCCGACAAAAGCTGGGAGTCCTGGCCCCTCTGTGCTGGTGCTGCTGGTGCATTTCTCTGCACCCAGCCCTTTCCCTCTCTTGGGAGAGAAAAATGAAAACTTTGCTGTTTGCACTTTCTTCTCTTTGTGCATTCTTTCCCAGCCCACCTCTCCGACCACCCTAACAGAAACCGTGAGGTCGGAAATTTCAGGGGTACAGTTTGGGATGATTTGTGATGTAACAATAGATAACCAGTACAGCATGTCACTGTGCATGACAAAAGGGGCGTTTTGGGGTCTCGAGGGATAGGGACCCGATAGGAAATTCAAACTTGTTTGTCCCATCTGTTGGTACCTTTTCATGGATACTCCCTGGTTGTATTGCCACACCACCGAGGAAAACACACCTTCCCCCAAAACCCTCAACCGAAAGAGCAAGTCCTGCCCCTGTGAGGATCCTGGGGGTAGCCTAAACACCGAGGGGGGTCAGGGAGGCGTGGATCATAGGCCCAGGGAGACCGGCAGACACTTGGACAATCAAATCAAATCAAATCAGATCAAAGTGGGTTGGCCTGCAGAAGCACGTCTACAGTGTCCCGAGCAGAGGAGCAGGAAGGTCCCAGGAGGCCAGGTCAGCTGAGAGAGTGAGTGGTCACGCACAACGGCTGAACCACATGTAAACAGAACCCTGACCATCAGCCCAGCCCACAGTCACCAGCCCAGAGAGCTGGCTGCTGTGAGTCGGAACTGCAGGAAAGTCAGGCTGCTATCCCCAGTGAGTATGTCACGCAGGCGAATGATGACCCCCTTAACAACTGGCCCAAAATAGATAGGACTTGATTAATAACTGAGAGCTTCTCTAAGTTTTGTTACCACTTTCAAGTTAGGACCAACCAGAGAGAGCTAAATATGCACCCTTACCAATCACACAGGATACCCCGCCCCTAGGTCGCTCTCCAACCCGCAGCATCCCCAGCCCACACCTTTTATTGTGGCACACCTGGGGCCTCCCTTCCCTCTGCTCTGAAGACACCACTCCTCTCCTGCCAGTGAGTCTGACACAAGTGACGGGGGCTGACCCCTTGCTAGTCAGCTCTGAGTAAATAACTTCGCTTGTTTACATCCAGGGCGTCTTCCTTTATTTCCTCACTTGTTAGCAACAAAACCCCAGATCCACAGTAACACTGAAGGAGGAAGCCATTGTATGTGGGTTTGGTGGGCGCAGGGCGTGTGTGAGTGAGCAAGTGAGCCTGGAATAAGAAGGAAGAGCAGGAAGCACACCTGTGTTAGAGGCAGGTGTGGCAAAGCCCAAATCCTGTCCCCTCTTTCTCCCGTCTGCTTAGCTGGATGTTTCCCAGCCTGCCTTGCAGTTCCGTGTGGCCACAGGCCTGAGTTCTGCCCATAGAGTGTGGAAGCGATATGCCCTGCTCCAGGCCTGGCTCCTGGAGACCTCTCTGGCAACCTTCTACACTTTTTTTTTGCCTGGTATAGAGGGTCTGGTCTAGGCTTGAAGGCCCCCAAGATGGAGGGGCCCCTAGATGGAAGGAGGCTGGTGCCTGAAGGGCCTGAGTGGATCAGAGCCCTGCCAACTCAGCTTAAAAAGCCCTGCCATAAGTGGGGAACACACATGTATTAAGTCATGGAGCTCTTAAAGTGATCGTTGCAGCAGTTAGCTTGTTCTAACAAAAACATGGGCCATCCAACCACCCTGCTTCATGCTTGGACCTGCTGGACTAACTGTTTTCCTAAAGGATATGTTCAAATCCCAAACCCTGGAGACTGTAAGTTTGACTTTATTTGGAAGTGGCGTCTTTACAGATGTCATTAAGAATCTTCAGATGAGACCATCCGGGTTTAGGGTGAGCTCTGAATCTATTGACCAGGATCTTCACAAGAGAAGGGAAAGGGAGGTGTGTGCTCCAGGAAGACACGGAGAACATCCCGTGAAGACAAGGCAGTTGCTGGAGTGACGCGGCTACAGGCCCAGGGAAGCCAGTAACAGCTGGAGTGGCCAGAAGCTGGAGAAGAGCCCGGGCCAGGGTCTCCCTCGGAGCCCTCAGAGGAACCAGCCTGCCGACATCTCGGCATCAGACTCCCGGCCTCCGGAACTGTGAGAGAAGTAGCTCCTGCAGTTTGAAGCCACCCCATGTGTGGCAATTTGTGAGGGCAGCCTCTGGGGACGCACACACCGGCCCCAAGAGTCCTTCCCGGACACCTCACCCCTGGATTTGGGGATCAGTCCTGAGGTGGTGAATGAGAAGTTTTGGTTGAAGCTATATGTGTGTGTGTGTGTGTGTGTGTGTGTGTGTGTGTATGCAATTATGTGTGAAACATGTTGAACCTTTAGGGGAAGAATGAATATACAATTTATGGAACAAATATTAAGTATCAGGATTTATTTTTCTCAGACTATTTTTATAACAGCATTTATGATTTGAAGAGAGTTGATTCTTATCTTTAGTTCTGCTACTGACTACCTGTGCATGCGACCTAACTCATAAAATAAAAGCCAACTTAAAAACAAAGAGTAAAGAATACCTAAGTTAGGACCAATGTTTTGTCTTTTAAATTCTCTTCATCTTCAGTCTCAATATAACAAAAGTTTTTTAAAACCAGAATAACTTTATAAGATAAAGACCCCTACTTTTTCCATTTTCATTCTACACAGTGTTGGAAGTTCTAGCCTATGCAATTAAGCAAAATAAAGAAATAAAATTATCTCTGTTCACAGAGGATATGACCGTATATGTAGAAAGCCATAAAGATTCTACAAAAAAAACTGTTGTAACTAATAAGTGAATTTAACAAGTGGCAAGATAGAAAATGAACACATAAAAATCAGCAGTATTTTTGTAGATGAACAATGAATAATGAATAATCTGAAAAGAAAATTAAGAAAACAGTTATATTTATAATAGCATCAAAAGGAATAAAATATTTAGGAACTAACTCAACCAAGGAAGTGAAAGGGTTGTATAGTAAAAACTACAAAACATTGCTTAAAGAAATTAAAACAGACTTAAATAAATGAAAAGGCATTCTGTGTTTGTAGAATGGGAGACTTAATATTGTGAAGCTGCAAATACTACCCAAAGCAATCTACGGATTTAATGCAATTTCTATCAAATTCCAACCTTTTTTGCAGAGATGAAAAAGGGGAAAACCCATCCTAAAATTCATATGCAGTCTTAAGGGACCACAAATAGTCAAAGCAGTTCTGAAAAAGATGAATAAAGCTGAAGGACTCACACTTCCTAATTCCAAAACTTACTACCAAGCTGCACTTACCAACACGGCGGTCCTGGCATACAGACAGACAGACAGACAGGCCAATGGAACATATGGAGAGTCCATGAACAAACCCCTGCACATGTGGTCAAATTCTTTTTGACCTGAGTAGCAAAGCCAGTGAGGGAAAGGACAGTTTTCTCAACAAATGGGCCTGGGAAAACTGAATAACCACATGCAAAAGAATGGAATTAGACTCTTATCTAGCGCCACATACAAAATGGACTCAAAAAGTAATCCAAGAGCTAAACACGAGAGCTGTCCAAAGAGCTTCAGGTGTAAAGGCGGCTCTATTGACCTGGAAGTAAAGGAAAAAATAGGTCTTTGATGGAGGGAAGAATTGATGTCCCCTTTGAATATGTGCTTTGGGTCAGGAAGTCTGTAGAAATGGTCCTACCTAACCCTTTTAAAATTTCTGTCTGGCAGATACCACTTAGCGTGAAAAAGGAAAAAATTAGTCATATTCCTACAACCTAGAGATGACCACTGGTATGCAGCTCTCTATTTTTCTTTAAACAACGTTTGTCATTATTAATTTTTCATTAGACTTAACACAAAACCAATGTGACCCCAATAAACCCAATAAAAAAGTTAAAAAAAAACACAACATAGCAATGGGAACTTGTCACAACCAGGGAAATAATATAAATTAATAACAGAATCATTCAGACCTGTCTCTCCCTGGGGCAGGGTGTGGGGATGGGGAACAATCACAGCAGGTAGCATGACCTAATCTGTCTGAAAGTGACCAGCTAAGGGACACCATCCCCAACAACCAAAGGTTGATTTAAGCCACGGCCTCAGGTAATCTCCACCTTTCGCTTGTTCAGTGAGACATCACTTATGTGTCCAGGTGCCATGCAAGGTTCTGGAAATTTAGAAGAAGAATATAATGTTGACCTTTTGGCTTCAGGGTCTCCTAACCTGATGAGTGGGGGGAGACAAATGAACAAAGAATGATAGCAGTAGTTAAGAAAGCTGTGACTGGAGGCCGTGGGGCCCAAGGGCAGGAGAGACACCTGCTCACGGATGTGGGTGGAGGACGTGGACAGACTCCAAGCACGCGTGGACTTCAGATTGAGATTCTGATGTTGAGCGCAGTACAGCAAAGATGGACAGACAGGGACAGAGAGGCTCGCCCCAAATGAGAAGCCAGTTCCTGTGCCATCTCCCCTCACAATGAACACAAGTAAGATAAAACCGGAAGTACTGTTGCTTTCCCACCTATCTACCCCACCTATAAACTCTCCTTTAATAGGAGAGTTTATAGAGAGCACGCCGTGCCTGAGTGAGCCGGAAGATTTTCTCCTTAAGGAGTCTCCTCTTCTGGGCTGTCTCACTCTGCTCCTGAAGCAGCCAGGAATAGTGCTCTTTTTCCTGCAGGATCTGCATCATGGCTTTCTGCAAGTGATCGCTGTTCTCTTGGAGCATGAAGTACTGAATTATGAATGGGATCTGGTTGGCCAGTCGTTTGCTGGTCTCCTGGAAGAGGGGATAGAAGGGTCAGCTGGAAGGGTCTGGGCCCAAGGCCTGCGGCTGCACAGAGACGCCCTGGGGTTCTGGATGCATGCATGGCTCACGGTCATTTTGCCAAGTCCCGGCGGTCCCGCCCACCCCACTCCAGTGCTCGGAATCTAACCACAAGATGCTTCGGTCTGGGCTGCTCAATTTTACGAACTAGGCGCATTCTCTCTGGCACTAAGCACCCACCCGGTAGGCTAGCAAACCCAAAGCGCACTGCGGGCCTCCCGGTCTTTCTAGGAGCTCCCTCCCAACCGCACTCTGCCTCTCCATTAGACTTCCCGGCCCTGAGATCCCTGGCTCGGTTCTGGAAACAGATTGGACCTGCTTCATTCCTCACCTCATGCTCTTTCTACATAGGCGTGTGCCGTCTGCCTGGCGGCTAGACTCCACATCTGGGCAACTCAACATTTTATTCGGACTAAGGAAAGGCTTCAGTAGTCAGGCTTCTTTGCAGTTTAAAAGCTACCTTCCTTCTGTGTGTCCCAACAGTGTAGTCTGTGTGTGGGGCGGGGGGTGTTTAGACGCCATGAAGTTGACTAGGTCACAAAATCTAGGGAAAGGAATTTTGTTCATGTTCTGTGATGTTGGTGAGTTTCCGGCACTTTCAGAGCTGAATGCCTTCTAAACATCGACCAGTAAGGCTGGTTGTATTTTGCTGTATTCTGATAATGGTAATTTTGTACTTCATGTATAGTATAAAATATAAAGAAGTTTGGGGTAGGAATTACTCTTGAGTACATATTCTGCCATATGAAGAACCTGATTCGGGGCACATTAAGTAAAAGTGTCTTCGTAGGGTTTCTGTACAATTACCGGTGAGATAATATATGAGTAGTTTATCAGAGGAGAGGATTTAATACCCAGCAATGGCCCCTCCCTTCTTCGCTCAGTTGAGCAACTGTCAATCAAGGCACCCCGAGAAGGCCATGGGTGCCCACACTCACCAAGAAGTACGCGTCCAGGTGCACTGAGATCTCCGTGAGGGCAGAAATGGCAGGCTCCTGAGACTGGGACGCATTTCCGAGTGGGTTAAAAACCTCCTTCCGCTTTTTCTGCAGAACTGAGCTGTAAATCTGGTCTTGACAATAAACCAGCTTCTCCATCCTGAATTGAAGGTGGATGATCTCTTCTGCTGTTTTCCATTGTTTTGTTTTTATGTCTTCAATCTTGCTCTGGTTGAGTGAGAAAGGGAAGCACGTCACTTTTTTTCCCCCTTTCCCATCATTTAGACAATTCAGGAAGTACTATGGTGTTGAACACAGAATTAAAAATAATTTAAAGTTAAAGGAGCCCTGAGACTTTAACGGTGACCTTCAGAAGGTCCCTACTGCATCCTTTGCCGCTGTCCCCCCCACCCCGTTCTGACAGTCCACCCTTTGCCTGTGTCCTCCCACCTGACTCCACCATTCTTTCTCTCCACCCTCCCCTCCATTCGATTCCTGTCACCACCTTTCTGCCTCCTCAGCTGTGGCTCAGTTTCCTTTTTTTAAAAAAAGATTTTATTTATTTATTTTTAGAGAGGGTAAGGGAAGGAGAAAGAGGGAGAGAATCATCAATGTGTGGTTGCCTCTTGAGCGCCCCCAGTTTGGGGAATGACCCACAACCCAGGCATGTGCCCTGACTGGCAATCGAACCAGCGACCCTTCAGTTTGCAGGCCTTCACTCAATCCACTGAGCTATACCAGCCAGGGCTGTTTCCATTTTTGTGTCTATCACTCTGGTCTCTCTAGTTGGCTTGAGTCCAAGCCTTCAGGAAGGACCCCACTGTGCCATGAACATACTGGGGTAACAGCTTGCTATCTTTGCCCCAAATCCTGTGACTCCTATGTTACCCCCTGTCAAAGGCATTATGGGAAAGAAATGGATGACACAGTGGAGAAAAGTCACTTTTTGGCTTTTGAGTTTCAAACACACTTTTGTACACTGAAGGCAGAGACTGATGTCAGAGAGAGAGAGAGAGAGAGAGCATGAAGCAGTGAGTTTCGCAGGGGTCAGTTCTTTCTTTTTACAGTGTGTATGGGGCACACAGCCATGCAGGTGGTGTTTCCCCTTGCAGGTTTGGGGCTTGAGAGCAGAAATGGCCTGTGTATCACTTCCAAGGAGAGTGACATGGGAGGTGACAAGCCCCCTGATGTGCACGAGGCTTGGGAGGAGCAGACTGCAGAGGCAGAGGGTGAGTCTGGGCTGGTGGTCTCGGATGGCTCCAGGAGCTCCCCCACGGTACAGGGAGCTACGAAGAAACTTCTTAGCTACCTGAGAATGGCACCAAGGGGTGGAGGCCCTGGTGGGCACTGGAGTGTTCTTGGCCCCAGGGCGACCTGCATGTGCAACAGAGTGCCCTGTGCTCTGGTCCAGCTGGAGAGTGCTCAGCAGAACCAGCCCTGCCATTGGGGGTGTGGGGGACCCAGGGGACCAACTGCTGAGGCCCAGGAAGAAAGGCCCACATCCTGGAAGCTTCCAGCAGGGAGACATGGCACCCAAGGACCAGACATGTCACCCGCTCATGGTGAGGTGACCCCAGGCACCAAACGCAGCCTCTGGGAAAGTGGGAGAGCTCAGAAGTGAGATTTGGTTTTTACCAGCTGGCAAAAGAGGTGAAAGAAGAAATTAGGTTGTGCTGTGGGAAAATGACCGAAATTCTTCTCCTTGCTCGTCCAAAGGAGATTGTGGAATGAGATTCTGACCCATAGCGTAGGCCTGGGCAGAGGAGGGTTTGTACCAGGAACCCTTCTCTCCCCCGTACTGAGAATGGGATTCTGGGGGAGTCGCTAAGTGGAAACCCACACAATGCTATCCTTCCAGTGTGTAGGAAAAAGACCCAGAATACCTCTGGGCCACTAGAGGTGGCCACTTGTTCAGGTGTGTCCTGCCTCGCTGCAGGAGATGATGAGCAAGATCAAGGTCAGGTGGAAGCTGAACCGCAGATGCTGCTGAGGTGGACAGCTCAGCACATCTGCAGTTCTAACCCTGGCCCTGTATTTCTGAGTGACTGTACACACCCACCTTCCTTCTAAGGCCAGACCTGGGTAGATCAGTACAGGTGACCAGCCGGTGAACTGTGGGCACTTACTTGGGCTGTTTGATTAAGGTTGGAAAACTCGTCAAAATGATTTCTGGCCATGTCAGCAAAAGTTTGCCGGACAATTTCTGACCAAAGGAAAAACCAAACATCAGTGAAATGCAAGCAGGAATAAAATGGGTTAAAAACACAGGGAGGGGAAATCATGGTACATGACCCTATTCTAAGGCCCTACTCCCCAAATTTACAGACCAAGGGCCGGAGGAGTGGGACACAGTCCCAGAAGTCCCCAAACCCATCGCCACCACCCACCCTGAGCAGGTCCCATCAATTTCCTGTCCTTTCACGGAGCAGGCGATCTCCTCTGGGTTAGCATCTGACTCTTCCTCACGCAGCTGCGTGGAGGGGTAGGTCTGACTAGATGAAGCTCCCGCACACTCTTGCCCTCCTCCCCGAAGTGGGCAGCGAAGACCTGCAGGTTGTTTGATCACTGCGTTCCAAGCTCTCCCTCCAAGGCACTGAGACCTGCTGGAGGTGCTGGGAGGGGCCCTGGTGAGAGGTGCTCACCTACGATCTTCTGTAGCATGTCGAGCGCGGGGTCGACCAGCTGATCCATGTACTGCTGCACAATGGCCTGGAATGTCTTGTAGTTGACAAACCCAAGAAGCTCTTTGCCGCGATACTGCTTATTGTATTTTGAGACTTCTTGGTGAATAATATTATTAACTGCAACATAAAACCAGCCACAGACATTTTAAAGATAGAAGCATTTTTTTAAGTCTTGCTTACTTACTGTGTGTACCCAAAGGCAATGCTTCTAAGTGGGAGTTTTTCTCTCAATAATGAAAAAAAAAACACATGATCTGACAGTGACTTTTAAGAAACAAAATCTTATTCTTAAAACATGTGTTTCAGTTGAAAGTCATGACCCCAAGAGAGACGTTTAGTGTTTATAGTAGATAGAAAAAAATATGGTTAGTTCAATCAAACTAAAAAGTTACATACTCTTGTTTCACTCACAGGTCTCTTAAGAATTCAGCCCGACTAGGGTGGAGGACTTCTACCATGGAAATGAATAGCGCTGTTTTGATCAAGTGCCAAAATGAACAAAGATGCAACACGTGCACACAGTGTGAACCCACTTGCACACACACGCACACATGCACACATGGGCAACGTACTGCCATCCAGGCTGGTGCAGAACGGAAGCTGGACAAGAGGGTTCATGTCAGAGGCCTGACCTCTGTGTCTTGGGTTAAGGGTGGCAGGAAGGGGGATATGGGTTAAGCGGAGCCGTCTAACTCAAAACAAAAATGCAAGAAGCAAGTTAGGGAAGTGGGATTGTTTCCTGTTGCGCTGGTGGGGGCAATGCTCCCTGATGACCGGGGAAGCAGTTAGGGAGGATGGAAGGGCCCAGGATCTCTTACATGGACACGCTAGCTTTTTGCTCACCTTTCAGGTGCAGGCGTAGCTTCCGGCCTTGGGGAGTAGACGCTGCCCTTAGGGGGAGCCCTGCCCCAGGACTTACCGTCCTTGCTACTGACTGCCAGCATATGTGCCCAGTTTTTAAACTCCTCTCTGAGTTTGTTGATTAAGCGAGTCTCTTCCTCCTTCACAACGTCTTCTCCTTCTACTAACTTTTCAATGTCCTGATTAAACATTTTAATTTTCTGAAAATGAGGAAAGTCATGAATCTGTGCTGTAACCACACGGAAGAGAAAGGCCCTGGGGAGCAGTGTGTGGTGCTAGGGGCTGGCAGGGCGGGTCGCCCACCCAACCACCTCATCTCCCGGATGAACAGGGCTCCCAGCAGGGCACAGGTGGGCAGGCACGAGGGCCACCGAGAAGGATGCGGCCAGCTCTGGGGATCTGGTGCCTGAGAGGCCATGGGAGGCCCCGGGAATCCTCACCTCAATCAGAAAGAACATGATGTCGTTGTCACTGGTGGGGACGTTCTCGCCACAGTGGCGCAGCTCCTCCGTCGCAGTCTGGAGGCTCAATCTTATCTGATCTTCTAACAACGGGAGGGATTTCTGAACAAAATAATAGCAAACAATGAAACTCTACAGCTTGGAAAGAGCTGACAGGTTCCTCGGGTGGATGAGCGGGACCCCACGTGAAGGCCCTGGAGGATATGCAGTTTCTGTTCCTGCATGAAGCTTGTTGTGCTGAAGGCCCACGAAGGGGCCCAGGGAGGGCTCTGCACACAAGGGGCGTGCGCTCCGGCGGGAATGTGTGTCGGTCAGTTTGGTGGTTCCGTCATGCGGGGAATCTGGTGATGGATGGTTTTCGGGTTTTGTTTGATTTGGGTAAGTGTTTTGTGTTTTGAGAACAATTACACTGGAATACAACGTAAGCTTTCTGTGGCCCAGTGTCCCGGGGGTGACCATTTGAGGGCTATACATTGAAAATGGTGCTTTGGTAGAAGCTATGTCTTGGGTGTTAGTGTCAGGCTGGGTGGTCCTGACCAGCCAACAACGCCGAGTGACAAGAACTAAGCTGAGGAGAAGAAAGGACCCAGAGCAACGCCACGGAGGCTTGTCCTTGGGCCCTGAGCTGTCCCAAGTCGATCGCGGGTCAGCCTCACACAGTGTCAACCACGTGGCTTCCCAGCCTCTTTTTACCAGGCAGGGACCTCAGGCTCAGAGAGGCAAATTGCTTGATGTCATCGCTCACCTAGTAAGTGGCAGAGTTCCAGTCTGCACCCTGCTCACCACGCCCAAGGCCCACACGGGTGAACACTGCAGGTGAAGACCCCCGAGTGAGCAGCGGCCCCCGTCTCGGCTTCGGTGCCGAGGGCGCTGAGCCAGCCTGGCAGGGTGAGTTCCCTGGGGTTTCCAGGTACATAAAGTGCAGTTGAAGGTGGGCGACACCAGGAAGTTAAATTGAGCCTCGATATAAGTTTTAAAGGTCAAAGTATCACAGAAGTTACGGAAATGCAACTTGTGAAATAGTGTGTTTTCTTTTCAATTAGACGGGGTTAGGCCTTTCCGAGCCTCCTTCTGAAAACCACTCCACTCGAGTCAGCACTTCTCCAAGTGCAACTTCGTGGGCCCCACCCTGCACCTCCTAACGCAGAAACTCTGCATGTGGGGCCCAGGAATATGAGATTTTACTTGTTTTTCTAATTCCTCACCAAGGTTATTTATTGATTTTAGGAAGAGAGAGAGAGAAATGTTGGCGTGAGAGAAACATCGATTGGTTGCCTCCCGTAAGTGACCCAACCGGGGATTGAACCCATAACCCAGGTATGTGCCCTGACCGGGAATCAAACCCACAACATTTCAGTGCACGGGATGATACTTCCCTGCCTGGCCAGGGCCGGGAATATGGGTTTTAACGCAATCTCCAGGTGCTTCTTGTGCGCACTACGGCTTCAGAACCATGGCCTCCTTCCAACAGATTATGTTTTGAGTAGTGCGTTTCCTGGCTCAGAAGTACCCATTGCTTTTGTCTGACGTGCACCTTCGCGTGGACGGGAACCCGGGCCCCGGGATCATCTGCAAGTGTTAACCTCCAGTCTCGCCACGCTGTTCGACCCCACGCACTGAGGTCCAGGCAAGCACTACGAATGTTCCGTATCTCGAGAAGCACTAAGCCACACTTGTACTGCCTCTAATGACATGTCTGCAGTTGCCCATTTCTTAAGAATCCGTGAAAACTGAGCACGTCCTTCTTATAAGCGTCAGGCTGGGGACATGTTTTATGTGCTGTGAAGTGTTAAGTGTGCAGAGAAGAGAAAAATGAGCAAACTCGGTGTTCATTCCCTGTTACACTGTGGGACTGGTACTATGATTTCCCTTTTCACTCCCCCAAATTACTGGTTCAGCTTTTTGGTTCAAGATCGTGCAGCTGCTCCTTCCCTGCTCCAGAAGCTTTCCTGTGCACCTCCGGCCAGGAGCAATGGGTTTTCACAATGTGCTTGTTTGTTTGCTCATCTAGGCAGACCAGTGCAGCGCCTTAGCCCACCCATGGCCATGAGAGTGGCCCTGGCAGGCTGCGGCTGTCACAACTTGCCACCGCCTCTTGACTCACAGTGATGTGCGAGATGAGCTCCGTGGTGAGTCTCTCTGCCAGGCGGGGCACCGTAGCCTTTCCTTCCAGCAGGAGGTCCCTGAAAAGAAACAGCGCACGTGAATTCAGGGAGGGCCCAGAACGTCGTTTCCCCAGTGCAGGGCTTGGCAAGTGGGCAGCTGAGCTCAGGGCCCTGGGGTGACACGCGACATCAGAAAAGCCCTGCAGGGCACGAAGAAAGACAGTTGCTCATCATGGGCTGAGCCTGTGCCCAGGCAAGCCTGGTGCTGGGAAGGCTACATCCAGTTTCTCTGTCTGCCATCCCAGCAAGCTGATGGAGTAAGTGATTGTTTTACCTCCAGGAGAAAAAACACAAACCTAACTTCACAGAAGTTCAGGGACTTGTCCAAACCGGGATTTTATTTCTTGTAACAACTTTTTATCCCTGAATAGCCAAATAAGTCTTGAGGAAGAAGAACCAAGAGGAAGGCATCACACGTCCTGATTTTAAACTACCTGACCAGGCTCAGTTTACTAACACAAAAAAGTACGGCGCTGGAACAAAGGCAGACACATCCTGGATGCAGAGCCCAGAAATACATCTGTGCATATCCGATCAACTGATTTTCAAAAACGGTGCCAAGGAGACACATGTGGAAAGGGTAATCTCTCCAACAAGCGTGGGGGAAAGTGTACACCTACACGCAAAAGAATGAAATTGGATCCTTATCTCAGACCACACACAAAAGTCAACTGAAAATTTGTTGAAGGCTTAAACACGAGACACGAAATGTTAAACTCATAGGGAAAAAACATAGTGGAAAATCGTTATGATCTGAGTCTTGGAAATGATTTCTCCAAAAGCCCAGACAAAAAAAGCAAAAATAAACTAAAGTGGGACCACATCAAACCGAACAGCTTCTGGGGAGCAAAGAAATGGTCAGCAGGGAACCTACAAAAAAGGAGAAAATATTTGCAAACAATGTAATTGATGGGGAGTTAATTTTCAAAATATGTAAGTAACCCCTACAACTCAATAGCATAAAAACCTCCCCAAACTAATAATCCAATTTAAAAATGGGCTAAAGAGTTGGTTAAAGATTTTTTTTCAGAGAAAACATGTCAATGGTCAACAGGTACATGGAAAAGATGCCCAACTCAACTAATCATCAGGAAAATGCAAACTGAACCACAAGGGGGTATCACATTTGTTAGGCTGTATACTATTAAACAAACAAACAACAAAAAAAACAAAGGGAAGGCAAGCAGAGGTGAGGATGCGGAACACCTGGGACCCTTGCTCACTGGTGGTGGAAAGGCGGAATGGCGTGGCCACTGTGGAAAGCAGGGTGGCGGTTTCTCACAAAATTAAAAATAGAACCTCCATGTGACCCAGCAGTCCCACATGTGCACATTTATCCAGAATAATGGACACCACGATCTCAAGGTGACAGTGCCGTGCCCGCGTTCACAGCAGTGCTACTCATAACAGCCGAGACTCGGGAGTGACCTGCGTGCCCATGGACAGATGAGCGGGCCCAGGAAACATGGTGCACACGTGTGGGCAGAGGTTCAGAAAAAAACAGACGTGACGCTGACGAGTCCCAGAAGTGGTGAGTGATCCGTAACAGGGTCTTGTGCGTGCAGCAAGGAGACCGTTTGCAGACCAGGAGCACTCGAACCAAGTCAGGGAGCAGGGCTCAGAGCCGGGTGGTGACGAAGCGGCGTGCGTAGTGAGAAAGCAGTGACAGTTTCTGCTGCCTGGTGATTGGTTCTAATTCTAGAACTTTCTTAAATACAAGGAAATTGGATCCTGGTTACCTTGTCTCAACTCTGGGGAGCAATTTCAGCCTCGTTTGTGATTTTCAGAAGCATAAACAGGAAGGGCACTGCTGTGTACACTTGTTCGTTCCGGAAAAGAAGCTAAATTAAGCTTTGTTTGTATGACTGATTAGGCTTTGCTTACTCTGAGGAATTCCCAAGTCTGGCTTCTGTGGTTAATTTTAACAATACGATGGAGTAAGATTCAGCCTTATAAAAGAAGAAAATTCTATCATAGGTGAGTATACGAATAAACCTTGAGGACATTATGCCAGTCACAGAAGAAAAAATACTTTATGATTTTACTTACATAGGAAATCTATTAAAAACATTTTTTTAGTGGGGAAGGGAGAGAGAGAGAAAGGTGGAGAGAAACATGGATGTGTGGTTGCCTGACATATGCCCTCTACTGGGGACCTACCCACAACTCAAGTATGTGTCCTGACTGGGAATCAAACCAGCGACCCTTTGATTCACAGGCTGGCGCTCAATCCACTGAGCCACACCAGCCAGGGCTAAAATCTAAAATAGTCGAAGTCACACAATCTGACAGTGGAATGGTGGCTGCCAGGGCTGGGGGCGGGTGGGCAGGCAGCTGATTAGCAATGGGCATCCAGGTTCAGTAATGCAAGCTGAGTAGTTCTAGAGACTGTGGAACGACAGAGAGCCCCCAGGTGACTTCCCTGGCCCCAGGCCCTTGAGTAGTGGTTGTCAAAATGTGATGCCTGGACCAGCAATAGCAGCCTCAGCTGGAAACCTGATAGAAGCACAAGTTCCTGGGCTCCACCCCAGACCCCAGAAACTCTGGGACAGGACACAACCAGCTGGATCTTAGCAAACTCTCCAGGAGGTTCTGTGGCTCCGGGTTGAGACCATGGGTGTGACTACTTCCTGTATTTCACATACTTCACATATACAGAATCTTTGCTCTGCTCGATGAGCAGTGCCCTCTGTGTGTGAACCTCCACTGCTGCTATTGCCAATGAACATTTCTTCCATTTAGGGCAGGAGCGGAGAGGAAGAAAGGAGGAGCTGGGTGGTATTTGTGGAGTGTGGGCTCTCGGCACCAGGACCTTTGCATGCGTCCTGCTACTTAGTCGGAAATGCAATCCTATGAAGCAGTCATGTGGCACTCCCTGAGCTGATGAGAAAGCAAAAGCTTGGAGAGGTCGGTCCATTTCCCAAGGGCACACGGCGAGGAGCTAACCTGGTCTGCCCACATTCTGGTCACCCACTGTCTCTCTCCTTCAGGCGGAAGTGACCTCTGGGTTTCACTATGCTGTTGCCATCAAGTTCTTGAATAAAATAAAAGAGCAAAGTGCCCAACGCAAGGGGGACAAAGCTGGTGTCTTGCTAACTGCTGTGTCTCCACAGGATAATTTATATTTAATACAACTGGTGCGTTTGCAGGCTCTGAAGCGGGTTTTAATGGGCACCATTGATGACAGGCAACATCAGTTTCTGGAAGCTAGCAGATCTGTTTCCATTCACTACTGGTTTGACATCATTATCCTTAGCTGTAAAAATGGGAAGAAGCTCGCCTGCCCCATGTATCTCTTAGGATTTTGTGGGATTCAGTGGGAAAGCAGGTGAAACTGTTCTGGAAAACCAAAGCACCCTGTGCTCTACGAAATGCCACGTTCCAGTTTTAAATCAGCCCTGTCATTACAGCCCAGGGAAAAATGATTTGTTTAAAGAAGCAAATGCACTTAACACTAAAATAAAGATCAAGGTGGGTCCTGCTACATTGGATAATTTTTGCATGCAGTTTGGTTCTCACTTTGGCCAGTTCTGGTGGGTGGGGCTGGCTTCCACGGAGTCCACTTCTAGAGCTGTCCTGCAGAACCTCACCTGAAATATGGATGCGCCTGGAAGAACATCATTTCTCTCTTGGTGGCCTCTGCCAAGCTCAGCTTGTCTGTGATGTCCTGCTGGCCCCGGCACTTCACTATCATGTAGCCCTTCTTGAGACTGTACGTGAGGTTCTGCACCACATTCACAACACTTTTTTCAGTGCCCTTGTCCACCAGGTCTGGTTTGGTCAGGATCCCTGGGAGATGATTAGGGAAGACACAGAAAGGTCAGTTCTCTGCTCAAATATGTTTGAACCCTGCTGGGCTATGGGATCCTATCTTGGCCAAGACCAAGAAAGTCTTCTGCAGCCTTGGTTGCCCAGTGCCTGACATTCATTCATTCATTCATTCTGCCATCAGCCCTCATCTTTGCTCCCCCCCCCCCCCCACACTCAGTTCACTAACTGCCTTGTGTCCCTTACCAAAGGTTTGTGGGCGCCTGCTGTGTGCCAGCACTCAGGCAGCTGGCGTCATCACAACTGACCGGCTGCATCGTCATGTTTCTAAGAAGCTTTCCTGGCACTTGAGCAATTGGATTCCTCTCTCTGTTTTCTTACCCGTAGGTGTTATATAAAAGCATGTAACCTTACACTCACAGACCTTCGTGTTACTAACAGACGAAGGCATCTCTGAATCTACATTTGCACCCTCCATTGGGGGGGGAAATAGCAGCCAGGAATGCTCTTTTCTGGAACCAGCAATCATTCACGGAAGCCTACATCATTGTACTTTATTCTGAGAAAAAGGAGTGAGTTAACAAAAATGGAGGTTTATAATTAGAGTCCCCCCTAGCTGGGGAGACAGGTCCTTCTCATACTGTGCCTAAATTTGAAACAGAGGACTTGCCATGCTTCCATCTACAGAATTATCTCGTAAGTATCATTTAATGATTCAACCACTGAGCCCCAGAACCCTGGGGGCTGCCCTTCTAATGACTGGTGACACTTGATTGCAGAATCCAGTTCAGCACAGCGCCCCTAGTGGCAGACACTGATAGCAATTTTTAGATGCTTAATTTTTTTTCTTTTATTTATTCCTGAATATATTACCCACACATATTAAGTTAACAAATGTTCATTAGGCACCCTGCTGTCGGTGTTGAAGAGGTGGCAGTGAACAAGACCACAAAGTCCCTGATTTCATGAATCCATCTTCTAATGGCAAAAAGCCAGATAAATTTAATCTAGTAAACATACCAGAAATAAACAAGAATATCTTGTTTATTGGCAAGAGCTATGCAGAGAAGTAAAATAAGAGCAAAGAAGTGACTATAGGCAGGGTGGACGTGCAGGTTTAGGCTAGGTGGACACAGAGAGCCTCTGGATGCGAGGATAGAGAAAGAACATTCCAGGCCATTTCAACTAAACTGCACGGTTCAGAGGCGTTGAGCACATGCCCTGTGCCGTGCAGCCGCCACCACCCAGGATGGTCATGAATGCAAATGAGAGGTGAGAAGAAGGAGGGTGAAGAACCAGATTCTGGCCACTCATGTCACCCTGACTGAGCGAGAGTGAGGATGAGGCGTCCGCTGCACTGATGCCGCTAGAGCGCCTGGGGCTGCTGTTGGAACTGTACTTGACCCTGACGCCGGACGTGGGGGTCTCTAATAGCAGACCTCATTCCGGGACCTTCTCCAGATGTGAGGATCGCCCCCTCCCTCCCCGTCGTCCCCTGGAATCTTGATTCCCTCTTCTCACCGATGGTCCTGTCTCCCTCGGGGTCCACCTCCTGAGCCATGCTCAGCGCCTCCGTGGTGGCGATGTCCACATTGCAGGGCACCACCACCAGGTTGATGGTCTCCTGCCTCTGGATGTACTTCCTGATGAGCGCCTTGATCTGATGCCAGAGAATCACACAAAGAGAGAACGCGTCTCTGGTTACCGAGCTGCACAGCGAGACACCCCCGTCCCCGCGGGAGACAATGTTGTCCCAGAGCAGGACCCAATTTTCACACTCCTGAGCGGTGGCTTGGCCTGTCCCTTTTCTTTGGAGCGTCCACCCCACCTGCCCTTACGGAGTCCTCTGCTGGTTTCCTACTTACCCGGCAAAGCCCGCCACCCCTATTCCTTCTCTCTCCAAGACTCTGATTTTTGTAGCTGGATGAAACCTCTCCTTCCTCTCTAGATCTGGGAGGCTTCTGAGATTATTAGTAATCTATTAGCATAATTTGTTTCTGTGTTGTATCTGCCCCAGAAGCCCAGGGGTGCCCTCGCGGGGATTTGTGGCACCTTATTGCAGAGTCCAGTTCAGCGCAGCGCCCCCTAGTGGTAGATGATCAGTGCTTGCTCACAGCAGTATCTGAGGGCAACACCTCCACGTGTTCACGCTACTAATATTAATGACTTTTTCTGCAGTTTGTTCTTGTAAGGAGTCTAACTCATTCGAAGGAGAGAACTACAATAACATTTCTTAGAATTTGTAAGCAAAAGGGAGATGTGGGCAACACAAGCCTTAAAATGACAAATTTGAATAATATTTCCCCCGTGGAAAATACAAACCATCATGGAAAAGGCTGGCACCTTGGGACACATGTATTTAAGCTTGGTACAATTTATATGTAGTTCGGCTCATAAAATGCCCTACCTAATTATTTTAGTTAGCCACAAAATGGGATATTTGCATCGCAGAAGCACAAACTAGCCTCAGGTAAACGGTGGAGCCCTGGGGTGAAATAAAAATGCCAAATGTAAAATAGGCCCAGTTTGGTCTCGGCCATGGAAGACTTTAACTGCGGACAGTTATAAGCGACCTTTATCAGCGAGCTGTAAAGTTAGCTGTCCAGGAATGGAAGGTTTTCTCCTCGTTGGTGCCCATTCCCTCTGCCACAGCCGTGTGACAGCCCTGCAGGTGTCTGGCTGTGCACAGGCCCCCAATCCAGGATGCTCCGCTTCCACTCTGTCGACCGTATTAGTCAGTCTGTGTGGTGGGCGGACGCCCTGTGCATTGGGAAGTATATTTGGCAGCATCTCTGGTCTGTATCCACTGGATGATGGTAGCAACCCCACTTGCCCAAGTTGTGACAACCAAATATGTCTCAGACATTGCCACAGTCCCTTAGGGGTGACCCAGACTTGGGTTGCCAACTTCTGCAGGAGACCCTCTCCTTCAAATGCATTTTGACAAGATGTTGAGTATGATAACTGCTCCCCACAATGTCTGCCTACATAGCGAAGCCCCACAGAGAGCACCTATTCATGCTCCAAATGTTTACTGGGTGCCCACCAGGTACTGAGCCCAGTCCAGGATCTAGAGATTCGACATTGACCTCACAGGCAACCTCCCAGGGGCTAGCATCCCAGGAGGGAATAGGGGCCAAAAGCACTCCATAAGGAGGGTAAGTGAAATCAGAAGGGCCAGGTGCTGGCTATCAGACACCAGGAAGGGCTCCCTGGTCAGGTGACACTTAGGCGGAGGCCTGAAGAAGATAGGAGAAGGTGCCAAGTGGAAGTCTGGACTGGGAGAGCCTGTCAGGGAGAAAAAAGGGCAGGCCAGAGGACGGAGGGACAGGGGTGGGCTGGGGTGCCCAAGGACAGGCCTTGCCCAAAGATCACATGGGACTCAAGCATCGCAGCAAGACCGTTTTCAGGCAGCTTTAAGAGGGAAAGCCTCGGGAAAGGAAGCAACAGGCCCAGCTGCTCTCGGTCTGCCCCTGCGGCTGCCAACCCTCCCCACGGGGCTGGCCTTCTTGCCCCCCGACCAGAGATCACAGACCATGTTCTGACTATTTGACATAGTGTTGATTTTTTAAATTGTTGCTAAAGTTGGCAGAGTTTATGTGAAAATCCAAAATTCTGGCCGCTTCATTGTCTTTTGTAAAAAATCCTCACCCAAGGATACATTTACTGATTTTTAGGGAGAGGAAGGGAGACAGAACCATGAATCGGTTGCCTCCCACATGTGCAACCAGCTTGTTGTGGGGACCGAATCTGCAACCTTTTGGTTTATGGGACGATGCTCCGATCATCTGAGCCACCCAGCCAGCACAGATTTCTGGCTTCTTTCGACTTTCAAGACAGCTGGTTACACTGGGCTGATGTTCCCACGTCAGGCAGGCCGTGAGCTGCTCCGTGCACACCAGTCCCACCACGCCATCTTCCCTTGACCTTGCCAGGCTGTCTCTCATCAGATCCTGAGTACGAGGCCCCTGCCCAGGAGGACTGCCCCAATCTCCTCCCCAGCACTCAGAACGAGGGCTGGGAAGGCCCACCAGACGTCTCAGAGTCCCCCCAGCTTCAGCCCGGCCCACTCCCAAGTTCCAGAAAGGCTCACCTGATGTCCGATGTCCACGGGCTGATTTCCCACAGGCACCCTGGTGATGCCGGGAAGATCAATGAGGGTCAGGTCCGGGACGTCCGGGGAGGAGATCTCCAGACTGATGAGCTCGTGGCTGATGCCAACTCCACTCCCAGCCACGATGTTTTGGGCTGTGGAGGCCAAGAGAGGAGAAACCCAGAGTCCAAATTAATGACCCCTCTGAGAAAAAGCAGTTGTTCTTGAAGGTGATGATTTATATTTGGCATCTAGGAGCTTCAGGGAGGCTCTGGTGCTGGGAGAACATTTCCCAGAAGCCTGCAGTGATGTGAGGCCACTGAGGTGGACGTGGGTGCAGGTAGCCTGTGATACACTGTCCAAAATTCCAGAGGACAACATGCCACGGTGAAGCTGTGGAGGGTTTCTGTTCTCCTCCTTTATGTTTTTAAATATTCTTCACTGGGTGATGGTTTTAAAATATGTCCACAAGTCCTTCAACAGCCCCTCCCATCGAAAGGTAGGGCCCTGAGTCGGGGCTGGACAGAGGAAATTATGTCTAAAGAATAGATGTGGGGGAAGCAACAGCGGGACTAGGTCATGAAAGGCACCCTGGCTTCTTCCTGCTTTCTATTGGATGCTTTTCTCTGGGGGAGGCTGGCTGCCCCATCATAATAAGGACCCACGGAGAGGTCCACAAATGTGGGGACCACGGCATCTTTGCCAGCAGCCAGCAAGAAGCAGCAGTGGCTTCCTGTAAAAGCCCAGTTGAGAGAGTTCACAGGTCCCAGACCAGCCTTCTGTTAACACAGCCCCGGCCGAGGTCTCAGCTGCGGCTCACTGGGCCCTGAGCAAGAGCCCCTCCCCCACCTCCAGGGGACGCTGCATCCCTGACGCTCACACACGGTGTGAGAGGACACAAGCTAGTGCTGCACGCTGATAAATTTGGGTGTGACTCATTATGGAGCAATAGATAACTAATAGAGGAATGTATTACTTCTATGACCACAAAAATACGTGTATATATAGATATAAAGAGTGTGCGTGCTCCAGGACAGTCTCATGGTCTTCTGTCTCTTTGTATCTATCCAACTCTTTTTTTAAAAGATTTTGTTTATTTATTTTTAGAGATGGGGAAGGGAGGGAGAACGGGAGAAAAACATTAATGTGTGGTTGCTGCTCACGTGGCCCCCACTGGGGACCTGGCCCACAACCCAGGCATGTGTGCTGACTGGGAATGGAACCAGCAACCCTTTGGTTCACGGCCCATGCTCAGTCCACTGAGCTACACCAGCCAGGGCCTATCCAACTCTTTTAACACACACATAAATGCATACAAACATACACTAACACATGAATGGGCACACTAACATACATAAACACACGTGACAAACACCCACACGTGAAATTCCCCTGCCAGGTGTGTTCACGGCAGCGTAGAGGCCCCTCCAATCCAGGACTCCCTGCCTCTTCCTGTCCATTGGGAACTAGAGCCAATTTAAAGGCCAGTGGTCAGTCCGGAGCTAAGCAGACACCCGAGAGGGGACACCCTCCCAAAGACAACTGCCAGCCACCCCAGGGTCTGCTGCAGGGACCGCAGAGAAACTCAAGGAGGCAGGACCCCTGGGCTAGCCAAGATCACGTAACTGTCACTGTTTAGTAGCATTTGCTGTTTATCTTTGGTTTTGCAAGCTTTGTCCTTTGGGGGTAAAAGGTGTTGAAAGGAGGAAAGGGAAAAGAAAGAAGTCATCCTGGGAATAAGGAGGGAAGAAAAAGTATTTCTCCTCTTGAATTCTACCTGAGAATGAATTATTTGCTATAGGAGGTTTAAAAGATTTCTTCTTGAGAACTATATACAATTACTTTTTTACATACTTCACATATACCCCAAATTATACATTTATAATACCTAGTGATTTGATTATGATTATTTTACACTGAGCCCTTCAAGTCATGAAGCCAGTCCTGCTCTGCTCAGGTTTCTCAAAATGTAAGCCCAAGGGATGGACACATCAGAGGTCTGGTTACCACCCAGACTCTGACTCAGCAGGTCTGGGCTGTGGCCGCAGACCCTGCAGTTCCAAAAAGCCCCAGGTGATGTCGCTGCTGCAGACCAGGAGCTAGAGAACCTGTAAAAACATCTTGAAATGAGTCGAAACCTAGGGATGGTCTAGGTGAGGGGAGGACACATAGAACATGCATGCCAAGCACAGGACAAGAACACAAAGGTCACTGTCACCGGCTCAGGGGAAGCATGAAAGGGTGGGGCGATGCTCCGAAGGGCCCCCCTGTTCCTCACCAGGTCCTGGAGGGTGTTGGTGTCCCCAACACCTCCTGCCTTCCTTCCCTTCTTCAGAATTCGCCTTTGCACCCTCCCTGGGGCAGAAAGGGGCCCCTGAGATACCCTTGTCTCTCCAGTGGCCTTGCCAGCTGGTCACTGAGTCTGCATTCGGTGGACACGGCGAACTCACTAGACGCGGGGTTTGATTGTGGCCAGTTCTGCCCGCAGGGGCTTTGGGCCCTGGGAGGAGGTCCATTCTGACAGACTGCAAAGTTTCAGGTACAGACCCCCCTGGGAAGGCTGCGTGGTTGGGACCCCCATCGTAGGTTATGACAGGGCCCACTCCAGGGACACTGAACAGGTTCTCCACAAGGGGGCTGCTGGGCCTCGGCCTGCTGAGGGTGACACGCCAGCACCTTCCTGGGCACAGCAGTGACATCTGGGGGCAATGCCACATGTCCCCCACATTCGGGGACAGCCCCGATCTGAGAAGCAGGGAAGCAGCTTAAGTGCAGCCCCAGTTCACTCCTGTAGACATGGACCCAGGAGCAAGTGGGAAACCAGGCTGCGCCTTCGAGAACTTTTCCTGCCTTAGTTGCTCTTTCGCCGTCACTACTTAAGGTACAGCTTTCGTAGCTTCGTACTGAATCATAACATGTGTCCACAGAAGTACTCTGTCTTTTTTTTTAAAGAGCACTTCTTTTTTTTATTTTAGATTTATTTATTTATCTTTAGAGGGGAAGAGAAGGAGAGAAATATCGATGTATGGTTGTCTCTCATGCGTCCCCTGCTGGGAACTGGCCTGTAACCCAGGCATGTGCCCTGACTGGGTTGAACTGCGGTCCTTTGGTTTGCAGAATCCAATCCACTGAGCTACGCTAGCCAGGGCTCCTTGTCTTAAATATGAGGCTTGATGCGTTCCACAGGCTGAATACACAAGGGTGACCGACACCTGGACCGAGAAACAGAGCATGGCCGGCCACTGGAAGCCCCTCCTGCTCCAGCTGGTCATTAGTCCCCACAGAGAATAGCTGCTGTCCTGGCCGCTACCAGCATCCATTCCTTTGGCCCATTGTTGAACTTCATATGCAATTGAGCCAAATGAGTTTGCTGACCACTTTCGATACGAGAATGACAACCTCATGGGGTCCACCTCATTATAAATGGAATCATGTCATGTGCTCCCTCACATCTGGCTTCTTTCACTCAGGGTTACATTTGGAAGATGCACGTCAGTGCCCATAGCTGAGGGAGCCTGCGCACCTGTTATGGTGCCTCGGTCCCCTCTGCTGCCGAGGGGCCTCTGGGTGCTTCCAGTGTGCAGCCATCGCAGGAGTGCTGCTATGAGCACCTAGAGCCTGGCTTTTGGGGCACATTCTGGTGGGCTGACACCCGGGAGCAGTGTATCAGAGCATCAGGGGTGCACAACTCCAGCCCCAGCCAATATTGCCAGTTTCCAAAGTGGCTGCACTGACTTCCATGCCCCCAGCGGCAGAGGGGACCTCCAGGTGCCAGTCTACACATGCCTCAGTGATGGCTGGCTCACCCCACGCTCTCACACAGAGCCGTCAGCCAGCACGCACCCAGGCGTGCGGAGCTCTGCCGAGGGCCGAGCAGCCGGCTCTCCTGCTCCTGCCCACAGAGCTCCGGAGAGGCGTCAGCAAACACCACAGGGTGGGAGGGTGCCAGGCAGCTCCAGGACAGCTGTTGCAGACACAGCTGGGCTCAGCTCTTCTGTGATTTCAAGCTGGGAGGCTTGCCAATTGCAGGTCTCCAGCAGCTTCTGTATTTGGGGGTAAACACTAGCATTGGGGCCAGCACCCCTCCATTTTGGGAAGGATCTCTCTGGTCAGCCTACAGGTGCGGGCTTCTCCGTGGGAAGGCCTCCCCCTCAAGCGCGGAGTTTTTGTTTACTAAAAGGAGAAGCCCATCTTCCTGGAACTGAGGCTGTCCCTGCAGAGATTCTTATTGTGATCAGTGTTGCCTTTGCCTGCCTGGCTGAAGCCAGAGAGCAGGGAAGGGGAGAAGCCGCCAGGGCACGGGCTCTGGTGTCACGGGCAGGAGCCCCTCTCGGGGGCTGGGGAAGTGGACTCCAGGAGCACTCGAGCCTCTGTATCAGCACTCTCGTTACCTGAAGCTGATCTCAAGCTTTGGTAAAACTTTGTTCAAAGGCCGGGGAGGGCTGTGCTTCCAGAAATGACAGGTGGCTGGGATCAGTGTTGGGGAAGCTGCGTGGAGACATGGCCACCAGGTGGCCAGCCAGGGTTAGGTTAGCACAGCGACGCAGGACAGGGGTGAGGAGGACAGCTGGGGTGCAGCATGGGGTCCTGTGGGGGACGCTTCCCAAGGGCTGAGGGGAAACTGAGACCCAAAGAAAGAGTGGGAATTAGGTGGAAGGAGGGGGCAGTGTGAGCGGCAGGGGCGCCGGCATGTGGAAGTGTCCAGAAGGAAGCGAGCCCCTACCTTTGTTGATTTCCCTCTCCACCTGGGAGGGGTCCTGAAGCGGGAGCTCCGTGTTCTGGTAGCTGATCTTCCCCCTCCAAGACACATCCCTCGAGAGCTGCTTTTTCAGCTTTAGCACCAGTGGACACCTGGTTACGATTCCTGACAGAGAGAGAGAGAGTGAGTCCCAAACACCGTAAGTTTTCTTTAAAAACCAGTGTCAAAGGAGCCCTTCCCTCTCACACCCCGGGAGCTGCCCCAGTATCCCCAGAGGCCTCGTCTGACATTTCTGTTTCTGTCTAGGGCCCCATCCAGATGCCCCCCACTCACTACCCAGCCCTAGAAACACCTTGAGCATTGGCCTTGGGACCGGGTTTGTCCAGGTGGCAGCCCAGGAAGGCGGCAGAAGGAAGCGGTGACATCCACTGGGTGACGATGACCACCCAACCCTCCCAAGATGTAGGGGGAAGGTAGCGAGAGCCTGGGGAGGAGCCAGACATTTGGAAGGAGGGGTCCCTAGACCTTCAGAGGGCGTGGTCAGTGGAGGCACTGGGCGGGGAGGGAGGATGGACCCTGCGATGCAGCCGGAGCTCACAAAGGCAGAGCTGCCCTGAGCCTCCTGGGGCTGAAGCCAGAGTACCTGCTGCGTGAGAGAGAGCTGCCCCACAGGAAGGACCTTCTCTCGCCCAGCCAGGGGACATGCCCGGGTCACATGCCTGCCACTGGCCCCTGACATCCAGGTTCTCCTCCTGTCATGCCTCTCCCCAAATGCTGAATCCAGGGAAGAGAGAAGGAGCCCTTGCCCCCGAATCTCACTCTCAAGGATCAGGTGCCTGGCTAACGGGGGCCTCCCAGGAGCCCCTGCCACCAAGGACCAGGCTGCCCGCGGCTGGGTGCCTGGCATGCAGGCTATTGTGGGGGACTGTGCTGCTCTCTGGGGTCCCCACACCCTTCTCTGTGCTGGGGGACAGCCCCGGCAGGATGGCAGCAGTGCCTGCTGGCCCCTGGGCAGGGCTGACAGGAACAAGGGGGGATGCAGGATGGGCCTCATCCACCCACTGTGAGGATTCTGTCTTTCTCCAGCTCATTTTCCCTTATAAATATCTGATTAAATTGTACAACAGCTCCTTTATATTTTTTAAATAAAAACATGTGTCTTATCACACACGATCCTGGCTAACAGCTTCTCAAAACATCGAGAAAATTCATTCTTCAAAGGGACTTCACACGTCACCTGCCACTTACAAACTCCACCTGGTCAGAGAAGAAACACTCCCAGGCCCTTATGAAGACCTCTGGGGAGAAGGAGCCAGGTTCCAGGACCTTGACCGACCGGGGCTACCGCCGCGTGAAGGTGGACTTGGAAACTCAGGGCAGGGTTGGCCGCCCAGGCCGTGCGTTCCAGACCACGGCTGTCCAAGGCCTGCCTCCCGGAGGCCCCCCCAGCAGCCTGCCTCTCACACCACAGGTGCCCTGCAGATGCTCTGGGACGGCAGGTGGCCGGCCACTCACCGCTGCCTCTGGGGAGGGCGACGCCCGACAGGGCCTCCAGCACAGAGCTCTTGCCCGAGCTCTGGTCCCCGATGACGGCGATGGCGGGCAGGGCCAGGTCCTGCTCCACGCCCAGGGCCCGGAGGGAGTCAATGAGGTCGATGCAGGGGCGCACCTTCTCCTCGTACTGGCTGTACAGGGTACTCTCGGGGCCCTGGGAGAGGCAGAACAGACTTCACATCCTTGGCCTCCCAGAAGGCTCCCACCACGGCAGGGACTTTGCACAGATGTGGGCATCTGTTGATGTGGGACTGGGGACAGCGGAGTGAGAGGTGGGCCCAGGAGGGCCAAGGGGAGTCCCTTCCGCTTTGTTCCTGCAGAAGCTTTGCTTCCACTGAAGCAGGGACACTCGGCTGGGGGCGGAGGTGCCTGACTGAGCAGAGAGACTGTACCAAGGGGTGGGAACTGCGGGCCAGAGGTAGGGGCTGGGCCCTGGGGCTGCAGAGCTGGGGAGGGCTGGCAATTATGACCTTGGCAGGAGTAGCTGGAGGAGAAGCCCCTGGAAGGAGACCCTCCCTCGCAACAGAACAGCAGCCCCCAGACTGGGTATGTCCCTGCTGTTTGTGAGACGTGTCTGGGGGAGCTGGGGCACCTGCTGTGACATTGCAGGTGGGGGACCAGTGACTAGAACTGGTCTTTCCCAGACGTCCTTGTTCTGACTCACCTTCGTCCCCTGCTGTCCTCTGCTTTCTCCTGGCATCTGAGAGTTTAATGTCATCGAGTTCAAGTTCTTGCTGAGGTGAATTTGGTCCTTGTCTCCCCCTGGCCTATTGTGGGGAAACTTTCTTTGCGCTCCTGGTGCAATTACCCCTGGAATTGGTTTCAGGGAGGGGTTCATTTCCACGTGTGGGTGGTTTGGGGAAGAAAATTGATTGTGTCCCTGCTGTGGCAAAGACCTGTGGGCTTTTGGCATCAGCTGGTGGCCAGGCAGAGCTGGTGGGTGCGTTTCCTGCTGCTCAGCACCTGCGATCTTGACAAGCTCTGCAGAGACACAGAATGAGACAGTGGCCCAAAGTCACCCAGTGGTCCTCCCCGGGCTGCACCTTCCCAGCCCCAGCTCCTGCAGCCCCAGGACAGCCCACCCCTGCACACAGACATGGGGCGGTCCAGGGTCCCGGCAGAGGTCCCCTGTCTGCAGGAGGGGCCTTGGGTGGCAAACATGCACAGAAAACAAGTGGGGTCTCTATGGGCCCCCAGAGCTTGGGGGACTGGGGCTGTGGGCTCCACATTTCCAGGGAGGACTGTGGATGTCCCCCCGTCACTCAGAGACACCTGTGGCTCAGGAGACCATTAGGGGTGAAGATGGGAGGTAGCATCTCTCAGGCCCTCTGGAAACCAACCCCGGCTCCCACTACCCCCCACTGTTTGTCCCCCAAACTCGTCAGACTGCTGGGTAGTCTGGGGGGGTGTTGAGGGCGTGTGTCTCTTTTCCTAGGGTCTGTGGCCTAGAATCAGATAAAGGCAGCACCCTGAGAAAGCTGGCGGTGGGAAGGGCTCGCCTCACCCAGTTTGTTTTGGCAACAGTCCTGCAGAGTTTGTGAGGTGCTTATCTGCATTTTCCGGGTAAGGAAACTGACCTGCAGGAAGCTCCAGGTGCTTAAGTCCGGGCTCAGACCCCAGCAGGCAACTCCAGGCTCCAGGAGCCCTCCTCCCCCCCTACCTGCAGCACAGCCCCTCCCATCTAGGAATGGACTGAGGCAGTGGCTTCCAAGGTGGCTCCTCCACCCCCTCAACTGCACGGCCACCTGGAATCCTGAGTGTGACTTTATTTAGAAAAAGGGTGTTTGCATACGTAATTAAGATAAGGATATGCAAAGGACAGTGGTCCCTAAATCCAGAAAGAGACAAGCAAGGGGAAGTTTGAGACACTGAGACCCAGAGAGGTGGAGGCCATGGGAAGACAGAAGCAGAGACTGGGGTGAGGAGGCCCCAGCCCCAAGCGCACCCAGGAGCCACCAGAAGTTAGGACGGAGCCATGGGGCAGATCCTCCCTCAGAGTCTCAGGAAGAAGCTAACCTTGTGAACACCTTGACCAGGAACTTCTGGGCTCCGGACTGGGAGACAATCCCCTTCTGTGGTTCCAGCCACCAGCCCTGAGTAATTTGCTACGGCAGCCTCGGGGCACTAATGCAGTAGGAGGGGCTAGAGTCTCCGGGCCCAGGGCAGGCCCATCTGCTGGACTTGGGAAATTCCACTTACACTCCTCCTTCAGCGGTAATCCCTCAGCCCCGCCCCTCCCTCCCTCCCTTGCTCCGGACGTCCTGAGCCCCATCTCATGGAGTCAATACCCCTCCTAGACATTTCGGAGCCCTTTTCTCAGAACAAGGTCCTTAAAAAGTATGGTCCCAGCTGAATTTCCCTGTATTCACAGCATCTCTCATCTGAATGCTGGGCCAAAATCCCCCCTTTCCTCAAAACAGATGCGCACATTCACAGCTTTGTGTGTGTCATGTACCACTTAAAAAAAGGAGGCCCTCCTGGCTGGTGTGGCTTAGTGGTTGACTGCCGGCCGGTGAATCAAAATGTTGCCAGTTTGATTCCCACTTGGGGCACCTGCCTGGTTTGCGGGCCAGGTCTCCTGTAGGGGGTGTGTGAGAGGCAACCACATATTGATGCTTCTCTCCCTCTTTCTCCCTCCCTTCCCCTCTCTCTAAAAATAAATAAATAAAATCTTTTTAAAAAGAAGGTGGCCTAGTTCATGTGTTCATTCAAGAAATACTCGTTGAGGATTGTTATGGACTGAATTATGCGTCCCCCTCCTCCAAATTCAGGTGTTGAATGCGTAACCCCAGCACCTCAGAGCGGGACTTTATTGGAGATGGGCCTTCAAAGAGGTGAAAAGCTAAAAATGAGGCAGTTAGGACGGGCCCTCACCCCATGCGGTTGGTGTCCCTATAAGAAGAGGAGACCAGGGTGCCACAGGGAGGGGACGGCTGTCGACGCCCCAACGGGGGAGGGCCTCAGAAGGGCCAGCCCTGCCCACACCAGACCTCAGACTTCTGTGGTCCAGATGGTGAGGGAATAAAGGCCTGTTGTTTCGGCTGCCCTTGCCCGGGGCATTTGGTGATGCCAGCCTCGGGAAACCCATTCCAGGACCTGGTCTGCACCAGGCCCTCTCAGCATGGGGTGTGGGGCACACCCTGCCCACACAAGCCTCACAAAATCCCACTGCCGGCGCATCCATGCATGCATTCTAGAGGGAAGCCCTGAAGTAAACAAGCCAACCAGCAAAGAAGGGGTTCTGGGAGGAAGACAGGGTTAGAGGTTCTGGGGGTGGTGTTATTTCCCCGATGGAGTCTTCATGGAAGAAGTATTTGAGGATGTGCCCGTGAACCGGAAATGGAATGAGCAGCGGAGCCAACCTTTGATGACCTGTGGGGAACAGCCTAGCATTTCGGGGACCTGAGAACACCACACTGCGCTCCGTGGGGAGGACGTGGCTTGCACACATGTCTCCCTGCTGAACTGTCCTTTGACAGCACGTACAACAGGTCCCAGTTTACATTTTGTAGCCTCCTTGGAACACGTGCCGCAGTCCCTGGAAGTCACGGGGACACCGAAATTCAGCTGACAAAATTCCTCCCTTGTGTTCTGTGATCCCCAGGGATCAAGGCAGGCGTGGCTTCTCATTCCAGCCCTCACCTCCCAGTCGGGGGTCTGCATCACCCACGAGAGCCTAAATCGGTCCTGCACTTGGGACAGCCCTGGCCTGGGGGCTGGTTCCAGATGAGGCTGTGAGGGAGCACCTGTTCCAGGCTCCTGTCCTTGGCTTGTAGGTGGCTGTCTTCTCCCTGTGTCTGCATGGTCTCCAGGAAGGGGGTCAGGCGGAAGTCCCGGGGGCTCAGGGCTTTATCATCCTCAGGGGCCCCAGACAGAGGTGCATGCTCTGCTCACCTCAGTTACATCATTCCAAATTTCCCATAAGACATGCAGGGTAGTTCAGACAAGTTAAGCGACAGGGGTACCGTTCCCCGCGCTGAAAGGTCACAGGGTTGCCAAGGGACAATATCTCACTTTGATACTGAGGGAACAGTAGAACTATTCAGATTTTGGAACTGTGTGGCAGAGCGCCACCAGTGACAGGCAGATTTCAGAAATGCCCCTTGGGAGACCGGCCCTCCCACCCTGAGCCCCTTCCTTCTGACCATTTTCGACCTGAGTGTGTGTTGAGCTCCCCCCACACCGGCGAGGAGTCCTGGTAGGACTGAGGGGCCTGAATCCCAGCGCCCTGTGTCCACTCCCTGGCCTGCCCAGCCTCCTGGACGCATGGCAGCCTGGGTCTGCTTTGGAGGCCATGCCGCAGGGAGGAGAGAGCTGCTGTTAATTCAGAACCTTCCTTCCCTCGGTCTGGCATCTCACACTAAATCTGCATGGTCCCTCTGATGGGCCTGGGGGGGGGGGCGTGTATTTTGCCTCCTTTCCCACCAATGAGGAAACAGTTTCTCCTAAAAGCAGCATACGATACGACAACAGGCTGGCTCACTGAGATTTCATCGCGGTTTCCAGGAAAGAGAAAGGAAACGGAGACCCAGCCCAACCCTTTCCTCTGCTTCACCTCTCGGTTCTTTGCGAAGGGCAGGGGAACTGTGAGCTGGCTGGCTGTCCAGCAATGTCTGTGTCATGGGTAACCAGGTGGCCTGGATTTCTTCTTGCAGGAGGCATGACCTGAAGGGGCCACCACAGCATCTGGAGATACTGTCCCAAACAATGCCAGGGGTTGCTGGCAGAGACCAGATGCTGGAAGAGACCAGGGAGGATTCTAGGAAGAGCCTCGGAAGGAACCAGCCCTGCCGAAACCTTGATCTCGGACTTCAGCCTTCGGAGCTGGGAGAAATAAGTTTCTATCGTTTACATCACCGAGCGGTAGCACTTTGCTACACCAGTGCTCCATGACTTACATCCAGTCTGTTCCCCCAGATGCCACTGCTTGCTGGGAACATGTGGCATCCATGTCTCCAAGTAAAAATTGGAAGGCATAAGTTAGTGCATGTTACACCTGGGGTCAGCAGACACGAGAAATTGGAGCCTTGTCCCCCTCAGCACCACCAGCACCACCTGCACCACACAAAGGGCTCCCGGAGCCCTGAGACCAGGCTCTGATTCTGACACCAATCCCCACGTGTTCTCCACCCCCCGGCCCCAGTGCTATCTGCCTGGAGATTGCACTGGATTCCACAAGGCTGTGCCCGCTCATGCCCCCATCCCACCCACTTCAGACACCGAGGGCAAGTCCAGGTTGTCGCCTGTGTTTCTGACCAACTGGCTATAGATCAGAGGTTCTAACTACCCTCTCCTTGGTTTCAAATAATTTCCTAGAGCAGCTCACAGAACTCAGAAAAACGTGTTCCTTCCCAGATCACTGGTGTATCACGAAAGAGTGTCACTCAGGAACTGGCACACAGAGGGGCCCACAGGAAGAGGTGTGGGGAAAGGCACGGGCTTCCCCACCCTGTCCAGGTCCTCTGCTCTCCCCAAATCTCCATGTGTTCACCAACCAGGAAGCTCTCCGATCCCCATCCTCAGGGTTTTAATGGAGGCTTCAAAACAGAGTCATGACTGATGAAATCATTGGCTATTGGTGACTAATTCAACCTCCAGAGTCACCAGTGAAAGATCCTTCCCTCTCTGGAGGCTGGGGGCGGAGCTGACAGTTGGGGACCCTCTAATCTCAGCGTTTGTTCGTTCCCCGTTCCCCGGTGACCGGCGTCCGTCTAGAGGTGACCTCATTTACATCACAAACCACACCATTCTCGTAAGTGAGGAAATTCCTAGAGTTTCAGGAGCTGTGATGGGAACTGAGACACAGGCTGAAAAAAAAACCGTATTTCTTTCTTTTTTTGTATTTGTATATTTTGTGAGTGGATCACCACAATAAGTCTAGTTACCATCCCTGCCCACACACAGTTGCGACATTCTTTGCCGGTGATGAGGAGGACTTTTAAGGTCTGTCCTCTCGGCCAGTTTCGGACACTCGGTTCAGTGTGATTAACTCTGCGGCTGTAACTGCGTGGTGACCACAGTTAATGTATTTCCTGTTGTTATAAGTCACAGCATCGCACGGGCCCGAAGCTCCCACCCCAGCCCCAGCTGTGTGCGCCTCAGAGACCCCACAAGGAAGGAGGGCCGTCCTGGGCTTCCTTAGAGGTCACTACTCACTGGAATGTGTCCTTGGGGCGCTGGCTGGCGGTTGGGTGGGAGCGAAGGGCTGGGGGAGCAGCACCCACAAGATGCTCTTAACAAGATAAGAAACTTATCTTATGGCTCCTACCTTCCGGCACCAGCCAGGTTTACCGGGAAATCCTTTTGAAAATCAGATCTGGGGTGAGGGGATTAAGAAGCACAAACAGGTCCTTACGGAATAGCCTTGGGGAGGCAGAGGACAGGGTAGGAAATGGAGCAGCCAAAGAATTAATTTATGACGAAGAATTTAACGTGAACCGTGGTGCGGGGATTGCCGGAGGGGGTGGGCATTGCTGGGTGGAGGGGGACAAAAGGGGAGAAATCAGGACAACTGAAATAGCCTAATCAATAACATATTGTTAAAAGTCAAAAAATCAAAATCAACAAAGAAATAAAAATCAAAACAGTCACACCTGTTTGAGAAAACATCGTCAGGCAGCCCTCCCGGCCCAGGCCTTACCTGCAAACCTTCAGGACGGCACCGGGATCTGGAAATCGCCTCTGTCCTTCCCAGCGTCTCCCTTGTATTTGGTGTGCAAATCACTCTCCACTCCTCACCAACAGCCAGAGAACTGAAACCGACGTCCTGACCACAGAAATGAAACCGAAAGATCAACCTCTTTCTTCTGATGAACCTCCCCAGGGTGCCTGGCGACAGGCCGGCCCCCCAGGACTGAGGCCGGTGGTCCGGGAGGTGGACCGTAATCTGCATTGCTAACAAGTTTTCCGCGAAGGCTGCCCTGTGGCCGTGCTCGGAGAGCCAGGGATATAGGGCGGTGGCTGGGTCCCAGGGGACTTTTCTGCAATGGTGTAACTGTCCTACCCCGTCCTGTCCAGCCTCAGGGGGCCACGGAGCCCTTGAAATGTGGCTCGTGCAGCCGAGGAACCGAGGGTTGCCCTGTTTCTTTCGAAAGAATGTGGACAGCCCCCGAGTGTGTGACGGCTGCTCCTGCTGAATGTTTACTCAGGTATATGCTTTGAAAGTCCTGAAACGTTCTGCTGGCTTCACGCCTGAGTTGCACCAAACAGGCGTCGCCCCTTCTCACCGCCTCGTGGTAAGTGCTGACAACCCAGTGAAGGGAAGTGCACAGGTTCCGCAGCCCTCGGAGAGTTCACAGGCAGCGGGTGAGACAGGAAAAGGGCGGAGCCAGGCTAAACCCCAGGCCAGGGACTGCAACCCCAGTCCTAACCCCAATCCTAACTCCCCCAAGCCCGTGAGATCCTCTTCTTTCTCGGTTACTTCACCTGGCACAAAGCCGGGGGACACCCCGCCCCCCATATCCCAAGGCTCCCCACCGCTCTGATGGGAGTGGAGGGACCGGGCCTTCCCGCCACCAGAGCAGCTGCTGGAAAGCCCCGCAGGGGCGGGGCTGGGGTTTCCAGGATGCGGGGCTGGGGCAGGAGGGGGACGCTGGCCTCAGTCCTGTTTCCACTCCCAGCCTCCTTTCCAAAACTCTATGAATTAAGAAAGAATAATCTTGAGCACCTCTTGACTTACTGTTCTTGTGAGCAAGTTTTCCCTTAAAGAAGGAATTTAGAGACTTAAAAAATGTTTTTTAAAAACATGTTGGAAGGGAGGGAGAAAGTCATTGATTTGCTGCCCCCCACAAATCCCGACCCGGGGGACCTGGCTGGCAACCCAGGAATGTGCCCTGACCGGGAATTGAAACTGCCACCTCCCCCTGTTGGCAGCCCGAGCCCATCCACTGAGCCACAGCAGCCAGGGGGGGAAACGCTGGCGTGAGGAGGTCATGGGGCATCTTCCTCGTCTGTCCTCCGGTCCCAATACCGGCCCCACTGTGCCTGAGTCCCAGTGGGAGCTGACGACCTGGGTCCTCCAGGGGGACCTAGGGACTCTGCAGGGCGACGGTTCTGTTTCCCCACAGATTGGTTTTCTAATGGGCCCAGCACCTCCCCTGCTCCAGGAAGGACAAAAGTGTTAAGAAACAAAGTCCAAGGGAGTAACCCTGGCCGGGTCCCGGTGGGTGGGAGCATCATCTCCCTCTGTGCACCGAGAAGGTCGTGGGTTGGATCCTGGTCCGGGCTCATCAGGGAGGCAACCGATGGATGTTTCTCTCCCTCCCTCTCCCCTCCACTGCACTCCATTCCTCTCTCTATAAAATCAGTAAATGTATCCACAGGCGAGGATGGAGACAATTCAACTGAGTGAATTTAAAAATGGAATGAGCTCCAAGGATTTGTGCGAGGGGCCGCCTCCTGTCCCACAGACACAGAGAAGCTCTCCGTGGCTGCAAGAGTGGAAGGTCTGTCTCCACAGGCAGAGGGGGCGGGAGAAGAAAAACAGAATTATGGTGTCTTTCTTCAGGGGACCCACGGGGCCTGTCCAGCAGAAGACGTAACTGCTGTGGACAGAGCAATTCCAGACTGACCGGTTAGGATGCTGCGTCCTTGGGGAAGACATGCAGATGGATCAGGGCTTAAGGCTCAGCTTGGTGACATGGGCTTAGCACGAGTGACCCACTGGGGGTTGCTGTTTCTTTGTTTTTTAACAGACGGCACCTGTGAAGCTGGACAGAGTGCAGGCTAGTTTAGCACAACTCCCAGGGGACCCTCCATTCCCCATCAGCACAGCACCCCCTTTGCATACCCCTCAGCCCAAAGCTGCTCACCTGCAGACCCCGACTGCAGGACATGGGGTCCTTGTTGCCAGAGGACAGTGACAGGCCCTGGGAAGGAACCTCATACCATATGCAGCCTCAGAGCTCAGGGCCGGTTCCTGGGGCCACTGTGCGCCCCCCGGGTCCCCAGCGAGTTGATTCAGAGCGGGCCCACCCTTTGCCAGGCCTCTCCTTCGGAGTGCTGTGCTCCCCATGTAAAAACCAGACTGGGCAAACCGTTTCCCCAAGTCGACAAGGTGGAGGGAACTGCGGGTGGACGAGGGGGCCCCACACGGAGCCCGACCAGCACAGGGGAGGCCTGCCTGAAGGTCTTACAGACTCGGAGACAGTCTGAAGTTAAAACTTTCTAACTGAAATCCATTCGTGGCAGGCAGTCATGGCCGAGGGCAGTGTTCTTCCCCAACAAAGATCGATCTTTACTCTCACCGAGCTTTCCGGGCTTGTGTGGGCACGTGTCTACGATGATACACTAGATATCACACCTTCGGGATTTCAAAGTAATTCGCTTTTTTCCCAGAATCCCAGAGCACAACCACGGAACCAGAGCAGGGACCACAAATCCCCTGGTTGTTAGTATCGTGTTAATTGTTGACTGTTAACCATCCCATACCCACAAAGTAAGAGAAGTCTGGGGCTGCTGGTTTTACTTTCTATCCAGTCCCAGAGATCCCTGCCCCCTTTGCTTCCCCCCCAACCCTCACCAGTGGATTTTGGCAACCCTCTCACGCCCCCCCTTCGAATGCCACCATGCCACATGGGAAACGGACTGGGAGACCGCCCTCCACAGCCTCTTCTCAGTCCATTGAGAGTTTGTTTTCTGGCCGCCATCGTCAGTTTGGTTCAAATAAACTCACAAACATTTTTCCAGGTGTAGATGTTTCCTGGGGACAGGAAAAAGATGGCACCTGGGGGTGTGTGCTCCAGCTGGGCACAGCAGCAGAGATGGCGCTTTGGGGTCCGTGCCCACTGACCCCGCACTCTCAGGGGGTCCGCATCAAGCCAGCTGGGCACTGGAATGTCTTGTCTGCCATCCTGCATGGCGCCCATGGGCGCTGGCCCGGGGCCGGCAGTGCCCAAAGCCTGGGTGACACAAAGGCCCCTCTGGGGTGGGAGTGTCTCAGCCGGTGACACCCTCTCCTCCGTCAAGGACACGCTCTGTTCCAGACGTGGCGGTGTCAGAAGGAGACAGGCGAGTAAGCCAGGACAAGGGGACTAGGGAAACTGAGGCAGGCGGTTAAAGACCAGGCAGTTACAGCTGCCTAGTAAATCGCAAAATCTTAAGTTCCCTGACCAAGGAGTGAACGGGTTACACTTCTCCCCTGCACCCAGAGGGGAAAGAGCCTGGAGCACCCAACTCGGAGAGGCAGACGGCAGCAATCCAATCCGGGTCTTTGGCGCCAACCCCACCCAAGGACGGATGAAGTCAGGGAATGAATCTCCTTTTGTTGCAGCATCTTAAAGCTGATGACTATGCTGTTGAGAGCCTTCCTAAGACCTGCCCTAAAAGCTCCCCACTTAGATAAGAACCCTTAAGACAAGACCCAGCGTGGGCTCTCTCTGGAGCGCGTCCCCATTTTTCTTCTCTTTCAGGCCCGAGACTCCGAGTCTCCTAAACTCTAGGGGACCCCACGAGACTTGCAGCCAGGGCAGCGGTGGGCAGCGGCAGCTCACCCCGGCCAACCCCCTGCGAGTCTCCCTTTGCTCTTGCTTTCCAGGGAGCCGACAGCACCGATCACATCTTCAGACCCTGAAACAATAGCTTTTTATGCGCATTGATTACCAAGCTTATTAACTATTACTTAAAACTAAAATTTTCCAATTCTTGAGTTCCCCCATCAGGGGCTGCCTGCCTGGGCTCACTTCTTTCCCATAAGGTGCCTAGAGGGCCGAAGGAGCCCCGCCTCATTTCTCTGCTGCTTTCTCACGGAGCAGCAATCAGGTCCTGCTGCCTCCAGCTTCCCTTAGGCAAAATTCCAGAGGGAAGGGTTTGGTGATAAGAGAAAGGAGTCTTTATTCAAGCTGCACAATTTTGGAATAACAGCTTTCCACGCGCATTAGTCGCTTAAGCCTATCAATTAAGGCTAAATTTTTTTAACACCTGAGTTCTATTATTTCCCCCGAATGAGGGGTGTCAAACTCATTTTCGCCCAGGGCCACATCAGCCGAATGTCAATATAGGACTGTATAAATCCTAGTTTGCCTAGAGTCCCAAGTTCGCCTTGCAGGGGTGTCCAACCTGTGGCCATTCCCAGAAAGGGGAATGGTTTCTATCTCTGACTCCTTCCCCCTTCAGCGAGGGCCAAGGGACTTCTCAGGACGGGGGTGCACAGAGCGGAGCTGGGGGTCACTCTCACCCTGCTTAGTGGCCTCCAGGCTCAGAAGGCAGAAGCACCGCGCAGGGAGCATGGAGGAGGGGACCCTGAAGTGATGGCGAGTCCAGATGGTGTCCCACTGCTGCATTCAGGCCTGCCGGACTCGACCTGCTAAGCAAATCACTGCAGCAGCAGCGAGGGCCTGAACCACACCCCCCAGCTCGGCCGAGCAATCTCCAAACGGGTCGTAGCGTGGAATCTGTTCACCTGATCACCCGGTTATTTAATGGGATTGAATGAAATTTTAGGTGGGAAACAAGTCTGGAAAAGAACTATTGCCAAGGGCACAGACGAGGGAGATGGTTCAGTAAGGGTCTCTAGTTTCTGACACTGGTTCCACCTTCTCAGGTGAGCAGCAGGTGGCGTCACGCCAAGCTATTCAAGGCTTCCCCCCTCCCCCCCCCCCCCCCCCGTCCCCAGGCTGGGGCCCAAGGATGACAGTCTCGTCACTCAGTGCCCAGGTAGGTGTCAAACAGGACACAGCAATGCAGAGTCCTGGACCCCACGTAGGGGATGCACCAGCAAGAATGGCAGAGACAGCTGAGAGGAAGGTGCCCACCAGGGCTGTCACGGGGTGGGAGGTGGGGTGTCCTGGGAGCTTGCCGGTCCCAGGTGGGGTTTCTGGACATGGCTGCCCAGGAGTCCCCCGGGGTTTGACCCCTTACAGTGCATTACAATCAACACTGCTGTGAAGGTGTAGCCATTTCAGCCAGAGTAAAAGAAATAGAAAAGGAAAAAGAAAAAGGAAGAAGAGTTCAGCCCCTCCCACCTTTTTAGAAAATACAGCAATGCTATGGGTACCGGTGATGGAGAGACCTGGTTCTTCTTGCTGACGCGTGTAAAGAATTACAGATCAGCAAATCTGTTAGCGTGCAATCAGTTTATTAGTGGCCCGGTCCCAGAGAAGAGAACGGGACTGGGTAGAGTGGGGGTGAAAGGCAGAGTTTCAGGGCAAAGCAGGGCGACCTAAGCAAGAGCGGCTGAAGACCAGGTGGCCAGCCCCCGGGCAGCCTGAGGCCGGGTGGCCAGAGGCCCAGTGGCGAGGGAGCCAAAAGTGTCAAGAGCGCCCCAAGCCCCCGGGAGAGAGTTCTTTGTTCTGAGGACTTGCTGGTGGGGTAGGAGAAAAAAAGTTACATGTTGATTAACGGTAAATGCGGTGCCAGGTTTCCTGGGGGAACGTGACGACCCAAACCAGGTATGTGTGGGAGTCTGTTCTCCCAAATCCTTATCTTGGTCCAGACTCCATTTGTTCATCTTGCTGTAAAACAAATACGTGACAGGAGGCAGTTAATTAAAATTGGGGCACTTCCCAGAGTTATTTATGGGCTCTTTCTGTAAGCATCAGGGACTCCCTCGGAAAACAGATAGTGACCAGAGGTAGACAGTTAACCAAGGTTGTTTTATGGTCTCCTTCTTTGGGCACCGCGGACCCTCTCCCACATTCCAGGCTCTGGGATGAAAGTACAGTGTCAAGACTTTTTTCCCCCAGATAGTGGGAATACTACGTAGAATTTCAAGGACTTCCCTTCTTTCTTGCTAACATAGTGTCTTGTGATGTTGAAACACCTGGCAATATTATCGGATCAGGCTCAGGACTCCTGAGTTAGCATGTGAGACATGTCTTCCTCCCTGCCTCAGTTTACTGTTTACCAAATTGGTAAGAGGCGCTTCCTGGCAACCAGGATGCTGGCCAGTAGCAGTGCAGTCTCAGAGTTCTTCCTGTGCTGTCTCCTGCCTCAGCACGAAGAGCTTACAACCTAAAGAGAGCTGTATGGGTGTCCTGGGCGGCCGTACAAGGCACTGGACTCTGAGTGGCTGGAACAACAGCGATTTCTTCCCCCAGCTTTTAAGGCCGGAAGTCTAAGGCCGAGGTGTGGGCAGGGCTGTGCTCCCTCTGAAGGCTCTGGGGGAGAGTATGCTCAGTCCGCCTGCACAGGCCCTGCCGGTTTGCTGGCCCTCCGTGGGGGTCCTCAGCTTGGCTCGTAGAAGCACCGCCCTGAACTCTGCCTTCCTCTTCGAGCGGTTTCTCCCTGCACATGTGTGTGTGTCCTAAAGTCCCTAACGTTTTAAAAAAGACTTTATTTATTTATGTTTTAGACACATGGGAAGGGAGGGAGAAAGAGAGGGAAACATCAATGTGTGGTTGCCTCTCATGTGCCCCCTACTGGGGACCTGGCTGGCAACCCAGGCATGTGCCCTGACTGGGAATTGAAGGGCGACCCTTTGGTTCTCAGGCCGGCGCTCAATCCATTGAGCCACACCAGCCAGGGCTAATGTCCCTAACTTTTAATCAGGACACTGACTGTACTGGCTTAGGGGCCGCCCTACTCTTATTATAGCTGCGATGACCTTGTTTCTGAATTTTGAGGTGCTGGAGGTTAGGATTCAACTTAGGAATTTCGGGGAGACAAAACACAGCGTGCCTGGAGCCTGAGCCAGGCTCTCCTGCCAGGGAGGCCTGCAGACTGCTCTGCTGGGCGGGGCCCCAGCTCTGCGAGGGGCCGCCGCCCAGGGCAGGAGGACAGCAGGCCCCAGTTCCTCTGCGGCCCTGAGCACCACGTTTTGCTGCTCACAGTCATTTATCCTGCTCTTCCCCAAAGTGGCCAGAGGTGACCTCTGAAAATGCTTTGCTATTCACTTTGACCCAGAAAACCCCATAAAACCATGCAGAGGTTCAAATTTCAGGTTCACTTTAAGAACAATGCCCAGGCCATCCAGGGTATGTCTATCTGAAGAGCCACTGAGTATCTAAGGATGTCCCTTTACCGAAGCAGCAGGCGCCACTCTGTTGGTACAACAGTGGGGCTGGTAGGGGTCAGTGGGGCTGAAGCTGGGGGTCTAGTTGTGGGTCTGCTGGTCGTGGGGCCCATCCGGGCTCACGAAGCTCCCACGACGCGGCTCAGAGCTTACGGAGCTCTCGGGCCTATTCACCCACGTGAACTCTCCCCACCACACTGAGAGGATCCTGGTGGAAATGAGCAGCTTTGTCCCAACTCAGAACAGGAGACTGCATGGAGGGAAAAAGTACCCCAGGAGAGGCTGAAGAAACAAAAGCTGACGACCGGAGTGCGTTCAGCATAAAGTAAATACTACTAGGAGTAAAGCGAAACCAAACCCAAACCGCAAGTCATTGTATTCCCGGCTCACAGGCATTGACTCCGCCCAGGGCCACCCTGCTGACAAGGGCCACCCTGTTGATATGCCCCAGCTGTGCCTGGGCAACAGTGGTGGGAGGTGGGGCTCAGCAGGGGTCCTGGCAGGCGCTCTGGGGGCTGTGGGTTTCTGCTCCCTCTGGCTTCAGTGCCTGACAGGGACCCTCCTGTGGCCCAGCTTCCAGTACTCAGGGCCCATGGGGGGGCAACTTTGCCTCCCTTCCCCATCATAAGTTTTCAGGTTTAAGTGGATTAGAGCCAGAAAGCACTTCTTCTAGAGGACTTGGGGACTCGGGCTATGTCAGAACAGCCTGGGGGCGAGGGTCCATTACACCCCCTCTTTGCTGCAGCCCCCTGAGTCCTTCCTCGAGGGCCTCTCAAGTGATCGTGCCTGGCTTAGGTTGCCCCCCCACCCAGGGGTCTTACTGGTTTCTGACTAACCGACGAAGCGCTGGGGGCTAGAGATGGGTGAAGCAGAAGCAGTGCTCCTGCCAGGGAGATAAGCTTTGTCTCCCTAGTGGCTCACAGTCCGAAGGTCGCTCGCTCAGCCTTATCCATGGGGGCAGTTACAACCCCTGAAACCAAGGCAGAGCAGTCCCCAACAGGCCCAGCCTCGGGTGACCTGTGGCCCACGAGTAGCTGGAGGGAGGAGTCAGTGCCGGTGTGTGTGAGCCACTGCGCTTTGGGTGGTTTGAGGTGCTGAGCCTGCCCTGTGTGATCATGTTTTTAAAAGGATTTCTGCTGATAAAAATGCTTGAACTCATCATCTATCCTGATTCCTCCACCTTACAGATGAGGAACTAGAGGCGCAGAGAAGCATTACAAATCTGACATCAAGGTCCCCTAGCTTCTTCCCTGGCCAGGCGTGGAGAGACAGGTAGGAGGAGCACTTGGCAAGGACCTGAGCGTCTTAGCCCCACATCAGATGCATCACTGGGAGTGCGTCCCAGAGCGTGCCCGCCTCGGATGCCTGGCTCTAGTGATGTGTCTTCTAGAAAGTCGGACGTGTACTGTACAGCTGTCCTCCTGAGGGCAGACCCCCTTGTCTCGTTGCAGCTCTTCCCTCCCCACCCTGTTGCACAGGGTCTGGCCACTGGAGTGACACCCCTGCAGGGAGGGAAGCAGAGACTGTGTCCCTACACTACTGCCCCCTGGTGGCAGAAGTCAGGAGCGCCCAGATTTGTGTCTCAAGTAAGTTCATGGACCCACAGGAAGAGAGCAAAGGCCCACATGGAGTTGGCAGAGGCGGGTTTGCTATGTGCTCTGATTGTTGCCCGTTCTCCCAGGGGATGACTGCTGAGCTGAGGGGCTGCTCAGTGACGACAAAGTCAAGGTTTTCTTCTCTGCAGAGCTGGCTGCACTGCAGGGTCCAGATGGGATCACAAGATAACTGCACACGGGCGAGGGGTGGCTGCCTCCCCTACCTTCTCCCTTCCAGGTTAAATCCCTTCACTCAACAATTTCCACCCGTGTCAGTCTTTCTGCTCATGGATCTCTTCACCACATGCAGCTTGGCATAAACATACTGTGTGCCGAGACTTCATGCCGCCAGCAAATACTGGTTGGTTGGTGACAAAACCTAAAACATCAAATATTGACTGTTGGATAAGATTCACAGGCCACTCCATGACTCATTTGTTTATAAAAAAACATTTATTGTCTGCATAATGTTAGTGTGGCTCTTTCGGTATGCAGCCTTCTATCTGTACTTCTGCAGGCCAGCCCACGTATCTGTTATTTGCACGATCAGAGTGGTTGATCTGCGTAAAAGAAAGAAAAAAATTTTATTTGCTAATTGACAAATATTCAATGTGTCAGCCATGAGCAAATCCTATAGCTAGGAGGGAATCCTCATGATTGCTTCCTAGAATGGAGTTTGCTCCAACCCACTCTGGGTGCTTGATTTTCTCTCCAGGCACTTCCAAATAGTATTGGAACCGGGCATTGGTGCAGCTCCAGAACTTTCTGCAATGACGTGTACATTCTGTGGTAGACACTGCCTGATGGAATAGCCACCAGCCACATTTGGCTATCGAGTACTTGAAATGTGCCTACTGTGAGTGATGAACCAAACTGTAAGTTCTATCTAGTTATAATAAATGTAAAGCCAACGTAATAAATGTAAATCAAGTTTGGCTCAGAGCTGCTTTCCTGAACAGCATAGCTATAATGTTGAGTTTCCAGTTCTTTGGCAGTGGGACCATGTTTTGTTTTGGTTTTTTTAGGTAACTGCAGAACTCCTAGCTCAGCAAACTCACATTCCTATTGATGCAGCCTTAGTCCTTCATATCCTCACTGCTTTCGCAGATGATGGAGTGCCCAAACTCAATGCTCGAAAAGATTAGTGTGCATTCTAATCTTTGGAATCCTAGGTACATATTCTTTTTATACAACAGCTTTGAGATATAATGTGCATCCCACAAAATCCACACGAAGTGAACTCAATGGCTTTTAGTGTACTCACAGAGATAGGCGACCATCACAATTGATTTTAGAATGTTTCCTCACCCGCGCAAGAAACCGTACCCCGTGGGCAGCGGGCAGTCACTCCCCACCCCTCACATCCCCAGGGACTCGCTCATCCATTTTCTCTTTCTGTGGATTTTCTCTATTCTGGAAATTTTACACACCGTATTTTGCCCCGTGTACAACGCACACTCACATTTTTGGCCTAGACTTTCAGAAAAAAACGATCTTTCATTTTAATTTAATTTGAGTTTTAGTTTATGTTTATTTAGATACTTTTTTGTATTATAAAAGAATTTGGGCATTTATTTTTGAACATATTATGGTACAAAAAATTTTATGTAACATATAATTATAAAACACAAGAACAGATACAAGGTATTTCAGGCACTACCCATGTGTAACACACATCCTCATTTTCCCCTGGAAAATGTGGACACAAAAGTGCACATCATGCACAGCAAAATACGGTAAGTGAAATGAGCGGTATGCGGTCTTTTGGGTTTGGTTTCTGCCCCCGGCATGTTTCCAGGCCCATCCACGGTGGATGCACAGGCAATTCCTTCCTCTTCATGGCTGAACGACACTCCAGTGTATGGCCAAACCGTATTTTACTTACATATTTTTATATACTGATAAGTCATCTGAGTTGTTTGTACTTTTTGGTTATTATGAATAAGGCTGCTATGCACGTTCAGGTACAGTTTTTTTTTTAATGTACACATTTTTTGCACATATGTTTTTATCCCCTTGGGTATATATCTAGGAGCAGAATTATTAGGTCACTTGGTAACTATATGCCTAGTTTTTCTTGAGAAAGGAACAGAATGTTTCCCAAAGCAGCCCTATTATGACATTTCGTGCAGCAGGGCCTGAAAGGTCTCCACGCCCTTGAGAACCCCGCTTAGGATGCCTTTTTTATTCCAGCCAACCCAGGGAGGGAGAGGCAGCACCTCCCAGAGGCTTCTGGGTGCGTTTCCTGATGGCCAGGTCTGAGCATCTTCCCACGTGCTTATGGGCGGCCATCTGTGCTTCTTCTTTGAAGACATGTTTACTCAGATGCTCTGCCCACTTTAAAATTGGGTTATTTGCCTTTTTATTAGTGATCCGTCAGGGTTCTTTATACATTTTGGGTGTAAGTCCCTTGTTCTCAATGTTTTTCTTCCATGTTGTAGGTTATCTTTTCATGTTCTTGGTGGTGTGCTTCAATGCACGAAAGTTTTAAATTTTGATCGAATGCAAGGTACCTACTTTTTTCTTCGGTTGTTCACGCTTTTGGTGTTGTATCTAAGAAATCACTGACTAATCCGAGGTCACGAAGGTTTATGGCTGTATTTTCTCTGCTAAGAGTTTAAGGTTCTAGCTCCTAAACGTAGTCATCTGACTGCTTTTGACTTAATGTCCCTGAATGGTGTGACGTGGGGCTCCAAGTTCATTCTCCTGCCTGTAGACGACCCATCATCAAGCACCACAAGGTGACCAGACCACTCCTCTTCCACGCAGCGGTTTCAACACTCCTGTCCAAAGTCAACTGACCGAAAAAGTGAGGCTTTATTTCTGGACTCTCGATTCTATTCCATGGGTTGGTAAGTGCCTTACATCAGAAGCACACTGTCCTGACTACCATGGCTTTGTAGTGAGTTTGGAAGTTGGAAAGTGTCCTTCGAACTTCCATATGGATTTTAGGGTGCACTTGTCTGTGTCTATAAAAACGCCAGCTGGGGTGTGAAGGTGGGGTGCAGAGGTGAGCATGGGGCAGGGCCTCCAAGTTCTCAGAAAAAGCCAGTACAATGGGTGTCCCCTCCCCGTACATCAGAATCCCCCTGGGTGGGCCATTCCTCATATATCACAACCTCCGGGCAGGCCCTACCCTCTGAGATTCTAGTTCAGTTGGCCTGGGCGCCTGTATTTTTGGGGGAGGCTCAGGTTGGGAAGGACAGTTTGGGGAGGATGGGCTGCAAAGAGCAGGGGAAGCTCGGGAAAGGCCCAGTTGGTCTGGATTACACGGCTCTGCGCTCAAGCTCCTTGCCGAGTCCCATACGTTGCTCCCCCTCGTCCTCATTGACTCGTGTATGATACAGCACCTGTCTTTCCCCTTTCTCACAGGGGATGATCTGAGGCACAGAGAGGTTAAGTGACTTGCCTACAGCCACACAGCTAGGTAAGTAAAGTCTGGAGATCCGTAAGATGGCAGATCGGTATATGGCATGGAGGAGAAGGGGTTCCGATTCACTTCGCAGAGCCGGCCCGAGGAAGGCCATGGGTCGGCGGGGCACACACCCACATGGCTGCCCCTGGGGAATCACCTAGCTTCCAGTTTCTGACACAGATCAGAAAGCTCAAGCCCTGGGAGGCGAAGTGGCTGGTCAGGATCACATGTGGCCCCTGGCAAACCCGACCCTGGATGCCAGGACCCCTCTCCCAGCCACGCCAGCTCATCTCACCCCGCTGCAGGGCCCCACAGTGGTAGCCCAGGGAGAGCCACCACCCAGAGTCCCGGGAATGCCTCACTCATGAGGACAAGTCCATGAGGTCTCAAGCACGTGGGGCGTCCGAACCCGATCATTAGTAACGAGAGGTCCAGGCCGGGCCCCGGGTGAGTGCTCCTGACATGTTTTACAGGACCGGCTTCCTGGCTGCGAAAGAACATGGGGGTTACACAGAGAAAGCACACTCCCTGAGATGCATGCTGAATCTCCATGAATTCCGAGCTTCCACAGGGTGACAACAGGGGGCGTCAGAGAACCTGTTGGACTTCCCTTGGGTGTCAGTCATGAGTTACCTGGCTGTGGGCAGCACTGAAATCACACCCATCCAGCCCCCTTCTTCTCCACCCCGGGGGCCCACCTGCTTCTGTCTATCTGCCTTCCCAGGCCCATCGCCATGCCGGACAGCACAAGCAGGGGACGGGGACCGAATGTCCACGCCTGCGGTCAGAAGCCACCTGTGGGCCCCGCTGGAGACATTCATCTGTCTGCCTCCTCTGAGTTTGCAGCTCACGGGGAGAAGACAAGACCCTCCGCTGAAGGAAGAGTCGGAGGCCTCGCTCCTTGGCAGGCCGCCAGCTGCCCCCCCCTTCTGATCTGAGGGCAGCACTGCCTGGAAGAGACTGTCATTATCCCCGGGGGGCATCAGCTTACAAATCCCAGGACATGTCCCCACCCGTCAGCTGTCATTTTCACAGGCGACTAAATAAACACATTAGGACTTCATCTTCTTGTTGTTCACTGCACTTCGAGAAATAAAAGGACTTCAAATCAATCAGGAACAGGTTTTTACAGCAACAACAGCGAGAGCTGTGTTTATCCAGTGTCCGGTGCCCACCCTGTTAGACGAGCTTCAGGTGCACCAGCGCAGGTGATCGTGGAACCACCTTAACAGTCCCCACGCGGGGTCCGAGGAGAGAGGCCTGTGGGGGCCACAACGTGGTGCAAAATCAATTCCAATAGCCCATTCAGAACATTCTACTTTGAAGAGATTTGAGAATTGAAATTTCAGCCAAGTGTCTTTCTAATGCTGATCTAACGGGGAAGGTTTCCGAACTTCTTAGCGTGGACGGTTTTCCCTGGCATGATGTATCAGGCACCTATTGAGTGGACAGTGGAACATTTCCCAGACTCAGGAATGAGGAACCTTCGGTGGAAAACCAAGGGGTCGGACCAAGGGACCATCTACACAGAGCCCTATGTGACATGCCCTGTGCACAAGGCTATATTCAGAGACAGAGTTGTCACCGACCGGCAGCCTTTCATGCCACAGCCTGCACTATTCTAACCATCTGTGGGAAGGGACCTTTAAAAAACCAGCGCCCTTGCACTAAGTTTGCACGTTGACGGCCGTTACAACTTACTGCGGTGATTACATTGTAAGGTATGTAAATGAGGAATCCCTGTGTTGTACACCTGGAACTAATACAGGGCTTGGCATAAATGACACCCCTTTTTTAATTACATAAAAATCTTTTATTGCCCTGGCTGGTGTAGCTCAGTGGATTGAATGTGGGCTGAGAACCAAAGGGTTGCTGGTTCGATTCCCAGTCAGGCCACATGCCTGGGTTTTGGGCCAGGTCCCCAGTAGGGACCATGTGAGAGGCAACCACACATTGATGTTTCTCTCCCTCTTTTTTTCCTCCCTTCTCTCTCTAAAAATAAATAAATAAAATCTTTAAAAATCTTTTATTACAAAACCACAAGCATGTAATTCTGTAACATAACAACATAACAATATCACACCCAAGCGTACCATGTGACATTTTAGGTGAAATGTTTAAATTGCTGTCCATCTCATGTGAGACAATCACGCACCCTACCAACCACGCTCCATGGTGTTACTTCTGCCGGACCCCGTATGGTATCGTATACCAACTATTCTTAAAGACACCAATGCCACTTACCTTCTCTCTCTGAATTCCTGCAGGAAGTTCAAAGCCTTTCGCTGTGAGAAACACCCAGCTTGACCTGAATTGCATGGTCCTGATCTCTTTGCTTCCAAGTTCCTCTATGGCCTTCTTGGCGTCCTCCTTCAGCCTGGGGGACAAAGGGAAGCGCGTCTGAACATCGTGTGCGGGGACCCCCGTGTACCTCACTGCGTTTGTCCCAGGACAGAGGTTTCTGGAGCAGCTCCTCTCCTGGGTCCAACCAGGCTGAGTGTACATGCTGGTCGAGTATGTCGGATTTCCAGCGGACTGTGTGGCGACACACCCAGTAGGACTCAGTTTGAAGCACGGACTTTAAACACTCAGCTCTGAAAAGCCCCGGTGTCATCAGGTTCGGTCACACTCACACTCTCAGACGACACTGTGTCCTTGCTGACCCTCCTGCTACTGACCACAAGATAAGGTGGCAGAAGTTGCGGAAAGATGAAAGCAAGGGTCAAAACTGTCCCTTTCAGAAAGGCCAGTATCAAAAAAGAAAAAAAAAATCTAAAAATTGCTACCATTGCACAAGGGTTCAGCTCAAGAGTAAGGCAAGGAAGGCGGGTAGGAAGGAAAAGAGAAAAGTAACACTTCAGATTTTCCAAAGTGAGTTAAATGTGAGTTTTTCCATGCGTGCATCAAAAAACTTCGGTCTGGGTAGATGTTCTATTACAAATAAAATCTTGCCCTGGCTGGTGTGGCTCAGTAGATTGAGCACTGGCCTGTGTACTGAAAAGGTCGCCGGTTCAATTCCCAGTCAGGGCACAGGCCTGGGTTGTGGGCCAGGTCCCCAGTTGGGGGCATGCAAGAGGTGACCAATCAATGTATTTCTTGCACATCAATGTTTTTCTCCCTCTCTTTCTCCCTTCCTTCTCTTCTTTCTATAAATAAATAAATAAATAAATAAATAAATAAATAAATAAATAAATAAATAAAATGTTAAAAAATAATAAAATCTGAGGTTAAAGTAATCTGGGAAATGCTGTGTTCAGGAGCCCCGTGTTGGAAATCCACAGTAATGCCAATAAGCACTTCGAGGTTCTGGGAAGGTTGGTGGAGAAGACACAGCTTTACTTAGTTGAGCAGAGGTGGAGAAACCCGGAGTCAGATCAGCTTCTCCCCGGGGAAAACATGGCGTGCGTGCGTGTGAGTGTGCACGCACACGTACGTGCATGTGTGTTTCCTCTTTGGCTCCGCATATAAGAGAAATGTTCTCAATTTCCTTTCCCGTTTCTATAAGTCCCCGTGGGTGTTGCTTTCCTGGCTGTGCTACTCTAGTTCCGCTCGGCTGGGACTCTGCCGTGCGACCGGGACAGAACCCTTGGCTTCTGGTACTGAGGGGCGCCGCTGGCAGGCTGTGTCTTTGGAGATGCACTCTGCTTCGTCATGGCCTCCATCGCTTTTCCTTAAAGGAGCCGCAGGCCTCGCGGCAGCTGGTTGTTTCCCAGAGGGAGCAGAGGGGCCCTGACCAGCCCTGCACCCTTGGCCCCACTGGCTCGGCTCACCTCGCCCACCCGCCCTGCCTCAGTGACGCTGCACACACTCACCGGCTGCTGCCATCGTCATGGGTCACCATGAAGAGCAGAGACTGCACCGGAGCACCCCGAATAAACTGTGTCATGGCTCCCGAGTTATCTGTTGGGTCAGTGCAAACCAGTTTTAGGTGCGTGACTCACTGAGACTGTGGCCCTGTGCACTGTGCTGCTATTTCTGCCCTCAGCGTCTGTGTCCACTGTGAGGCCTCTGGTTCTCAGAACTACCTCCCTCGATCACGCAGGCGGCAGGCCAGCTCTTCACTAGTACAGAGCTGCTGGGCTTCCAGGGCGGGCCCTCCGAGGTCAGAGCACCATCATCGGATCACAAAGATTCTGCTGATCTAACTTGAAACAAATGACAGCTTTGGCCGCACAGGTGGAGCGTTTCCTGCAGTGACTACGCAGCCCACGCCCACACTCGGGCATCTTAGATTAGAGCCGCTCCAGGTACCGACCGACCTGCAGCACAGAGTGGGAGCACGGACCAGACCCTGCGAGGGGCAGTCTTCGCTAGGAGGCCTGTGTGCCTTACAGGAAAGAAGAGAGGTGAGTCTCTAACCCCATTACTTTCCACCAGGGCTCGCTCTTCACAGTTATGCGTGAGTCAGCTGCAGAGCAAAATGCCCAATTCCCGTGAACGGCACCCTGGCATTTCTTGTTACTCTTCTCCATTATCTTTGCAGAGACTCGTTTTTTACATATATTTGCCGTGTATAATGTACATTTTTTGGGCCCAGATTTTTGAGGGAAAAATAAGGATGCACATTATACATGGGTATAATGAATACATACCATGGGTATGTTAACGGGTATAATAATCCCGTGTATAATGCACACAAAACATGGGCATGTGTTATACATGGTAAAATACGGTAACAATACTCAGTGTTAAATAAACATAAGAGGGGCTGGTGTATCCTGACCGACAACTGTAGCCAAGACGCGGTGCCCAGAATGGAGAGAGTGTGAAGGAGGGTGGGCACCGAGGGGCCCGGGGATGTGTGCTGGGGTGCCAGACACAGGATGGGGACAATGGTGACAGTCAGGGCTGGGTGCTAATGGTATCATCGGACAGATATTCGATTTCAAGGTGTCTCTCCCATTATCCATTGAGGGAACAGAAGGAAAGATCCAGGAGAAGTGTGACCAGAGAAAAGGCGTTTCCTAGGTAACACCTTCAAACTGGATTACATGAACTCGGAGACTAAGGGGACTACGGGCGACTATTCTAAACCACTGAACATGAGCCCCAGCTGGTGTGGCTCAGGAGATCCAGTGCCAGCCTGTGAACCAAAGGGTCACCGGTTTGATTCCCAGTCAGGGCACATGCCTGGGTTGCAGGCCAGGTCCCCAGCAGGGGGCACATGAGAGGCAACCACACATAGATGTTTCTTTCTCTCTCTTTCTTCCTCCCTTCCACTCTCTCTAAAACCAAATAAATAAAATCTTTAAAATACTCAACATGAACTTCTGACAATTTCCTTAGCAGACAAAATAAGAACGCTTGGCATTTTGTTTGATTTTTTTAAGTCTTAATTTATTTTTATAATTCATTTGCATTATAACAGAAAAAGAGTTTTCTTACCACCTTCATACATGTCAAAATACTGTGTTGCTATCACTTTTGCAGTCGTATCTGAAAATAAAAGGAACAGTTTTTAAAAGACAGTTCATGGGGACTCACGGTGGGTTGGTGGCAGCAGAGTTCTCAGTGTGGCCTGCGTCATCCCTGTGTCCTTCCAGGGAGCGTGGCTGCCGTGAGGACCGCACCTGTGAGGCGGCCACCTGCCCTGGAGGGCGGTCCTGATGTGGGCGGGGAGACAGCGACCCTCAACAGCTCTGCAGTTTCCTTCTCGCTGCTTCCCAAGAGATTCGATGCTGCCCTCCCCTGTGCAACCCACCTGCCTCTTCCGGCGGAGACCCCGGAGCCCCCTCAGCCCTTTCTGCTTTGCGCTCGGGGTTCCCCTCCTCAGGGTCATACGGGGCCCATTCCGCCTGGGGTGCCTGCTGCCGCGGCCCCTGGACGGCGTGCTCGGCTTGCCCCCAGGGACGTGGCAGGAGAGCCCTGCCCCAGGCCTGCTGCGGTGGTTACTGTCAGGGGTCCCCGGTGGCCACTGATTGGGGAGAGTCGGACAGAACATTGTTTCCCAGGCCTAAGAGGAGGCCCAGTGGTGCTTCCCCTCAGGCTCTAGTCCGTGGGCCCCTGGGAATCCAGAGCAGAGGTGAGGCTCAGATCTGGGGGAGGGGGCACGGGTGGGGGGGTGCTGTGGGCCCAGTCTGCTGGCGGGGTTCCCACCCTGCCTCTGCCAGTCCTTTGTCCTTGTTAGTTTTTAAATCTATATTTGGTCCCAGGCTTGTTACTTTTTTAGGACCCATAATCAGTAAAGTGAGGCACTGCAAAAATAATTAATTACGTATTTTTAAGATGCATTAAAATAAAAAACCTAGAGTAGATCAAATGCAAAAACCATGGAAAGCCCAAGGTGCCTTTGAAAATCCAATCACAGAGCTTTCAGAGAAGTTTTAGAGAAAACATTTGATAACTTACAATTGACAATGGCAATATTTATTCCTCTCCCAACATTCCCAGTCTTTTCTCCGATAAGCCTGAAAGGTAAATAAAGGTGAGTGAAAGAATTCCTTTCTTAGCAGGCAGAAGGGAGCCATCCCTGCCCATCAGGTTTTCACTTGGCAGAGTCCCTGCTCAGCCACCGCCGTGCACCAGCGGGTCCCTTTCAGACATGCAGGGGCCTGAGCCAGTGCCCGGGACGGTCACCCCCATGCTCACTCCACACACACCTACCCCCAACTTCCTGTGGACTCAGTCCCTCGGGAAACCTGGAACCTGCATTCCTCTGAGAATTTAGACAAACGTTTTCCTGTCCCACCCGGCACTTACAGCTCATCCTCAAAGCAGATCTTGGGGTATTTGTCCTGGCTGCCGCCGCTGAGTAACCGGTAGGCATAGGTGTTCGGGGGGCATGGGGCCCAGTGGTCACATTTTTGCCTTTTGGGGACCGGGGCTGTAATGGACAAGAACATAACAAGGTCAGGTGAGGCTTTACCAAAAAGCGCTCACTGCTTGACCCTGAAGGCAGCTGTTCTGCCGCAGGACTTCACCCCTGCATGTCCCAAGGTTGTGGATGGTGGTGGGGGGGGACCTCAAGGGGGGCAGAAATAGAAAAGGAGTCACCAGCTTTGATGAGGAGCTTCAGAAATGTGCCTTAAGATATGAGGTTAATTTAATCTGCTTTTGTCTTCAAATTGCAAGTATATAAAAGGGGAGAGGGTGCTTTGCAGGCATGACAATTTCCTCGCCTCTCGCTCGCTGTCTAACAGACATGCTCAGCCCGCGAGCCCTTCCAAACGCCTGGTGCCGGCCGGCAGCCGCTCACAGAGGAAGCCGTGTCCAGGACAGACTTCTGATTTCGGGGAAAAGCAGGGAGAAGGAGAGTTCAAGGGCCCCCTCGGAGGGCACCTCCTGGCCTGACGCCGCCAGGGCCTCCCGTGGCGCCTGGCCCCACCCCGGACTGCGTGCAGTGGTCTCTCTGGTCCTGGGCAAATCCACTGTGGAAACCTTACCAGATGCTAACACCCCCGTCACGGTCAATTCCTAGAAAGTCCTTTTTTTTTTTTTTTATCCTAAAAGGTCATTCAATTTGATAAAGAATGGCTTTTACCAAATTTTTTTTATTGTTATTCAGTTTTTTTGTACTTGCTTAAACTAATTTTGTATACTCATTTCTGTATTAAAAACATACCAGCATATCTACTCGCGAGGTTTCGAAAAGGGGATGGATTATTGCTTTTGCGTCCCACACCTTATCCGACGTCATGTTGAATGACTGTTCTATAATTTCCCATTCGAGTTGGATTCCAAACATGTATTTTTACTTAACACAACCCGCAAGTAAAATCTCTTTGCTTCCCTAACATCACAGGCTGCCTTGGAGTCTCCCTCCGGACCGGCAGGCGTTGAATGGTGCCGAAACGAAAGGAGCAGATCCTCCTCCTCCTCATCATCATTACCATCACCTGGAAGTGGCCAGAAGCCCCTGCCCTCCACTGCCCGCCGCCCAGCCGCACTGCAGAGTGACCTGTCTGCCCGGACCCGCGGCACTGACCTTTGAGGATGGGCCTCTCACCGATGCTCCGGATGTGATAGGCCGCCCTGGACAGGGAGACGTCCGGAATGAGCTCTGCCAGCAGGTACCCAGCGTACCAGGCACACAGAGAAATGCAGATGTAGGTCAGTGCCCTCAGAGTGCCTGCAGACACACAAGAAGAGCGTGGGTGCTCAGCCCTCTGAGGCCGTTCCTCCGTTCCACGCGTCCTGTCTCAGCCCGGCTGGACTCCATTAGCCAGTTCTGCCAAATTAGGGGGGCTAAAGGAGTTGTGGGGACTCCCAAGTTCTCAGCCGGTCGGTAGCAAGCACGGGCTGTCCTGAGACTCTTGTGGCTGGCAGCTGAGAGAGGGCAGCTAGAGGGGGCTTCGCTCTTAACCTGCAGGGTCTACACCAACTGCCGAGGGTCAGTGTCAGGACTGAACTGAACCGTGGGACACCTGGTGGCTGCCAGAGGGTTGGTGTCTCCCCACCCAGCACCCGGAGCAGAGATGAGGGGGTGGTGCTCCCAGGCTCTCTTTTCCAAGTTCACAGTCACTGACACTGAGGCAGGACCCCAGCCCTCCAGCACACAACCCAAGGCTTCCCTGTCTCCAGGCAGTGATGACATTCGAACCTGTGTCTGTCACTCCAGCCTTAGCCCCGAACCTCCACTCCCGTCATTTCCCGCACCTGCAGGTCCCTGTTGCCTGTGACTAAGCACAGCTGTCTGCACTTTATTGAGTCTGGGTGCACTTGTGTGTGGTTCCTCAGCTTAGGTCATCGCGCTCAGGGGACTGGACGCTTCTATTTCCCCTTGTGACATATTTCAGCATCAATAATTTTTTCCATTTTCCAAACCATGCAGAACCCAAGGTGGCTAGAATGTTACACATAGAGGGCTTCCTGAGGCCAACTACCTGGACCACGTAGCCACTGCTGTTTCTTGGACTCAAGGGACATCAAAAAGTTGGAAAAGGCAGCCACACACTACAAATGAGAGCCCTGGGGATTGAGGTGCCTGCCCTGGAATTCCCGGTGGCTCTGTGCTTAGCCGCACTGACCCACAGTGGCTGGGGCCTCCCCTGCCCCTCTGCCTCAGGGTGCTGCCCCTCAGAGACCCCCACCCATCTCCCTCTCCTTTCTAAGGCTCCCAACAGGTGTGCAGCCTGCCATGCACCTGCACGGGTCCCTCACACAGCAGCCCTTCCCACGACTTGTTGGCATGGCATGCCAAGGGTCCCTTCCCTGTAGGGCTGTGCCCACACACCTCGGACAGCATGTGCTCCGTAGCGTGTCCCAGAAAGTGCCATGGGGCACATGCTGGGGGAGCTGTGGACGGCGAATGCTGGCGACCCAGAGTGCCGGTGGTGTCGGGTTCAGCGGAAACAATGGTCTGCTGTGTCCCCCTGTGTGTCGGGCCACAGCTGGACTACTTTATTCAAGTATCATATTTGAAGAAGAAAATTGGCAAACCGGGGACTGGATTGGAGAAGACTGAGAGGGAGCACGATGCCACCTGTTAAGTGTGTAAAAAACGGCCACATGGAAGGAAGACCCAGTTTGGTCTCCAGCTGAACAAGGACAAATCGACGGAAGTGACTGGAAGAAACTGAAGGATGAACAGAAAGCCTGCAGGCCCTCAAGCAGGACTGTAAGCCGGGGCTGACCTGCCTGCGAGGCAACGGCCACCCATCCCCACACACTGGTCAGGACTCCTGGGGAGGCTGTAAAGTACTTGTGGGCTGGGCGAGGAGTGCCCCCGATGGCCTCTCGGCTGGGGGCAGCCTGGTTTCCTGTGGTGGCTGGGAGAAGCCAAGACCTAGAACCAGAGCGAGCCATCCAGGGTGGGAGGGCGGGTCCAACAGCAAAGACCGGGTGCTGGCTGGTGGTAAGCCACGTGGAACCCGTGCACAGGTCTGACACAGGTCACAGAAGCATCCGGATGCCAAAGGGGGGCAGGCATAGGAGCCAGGAGGTGAGGGACAGGCCAGCAGCATCTGGAGAGCTGTGGCCCAGCCTGACCGTGGGCCGAACAGCCGCACCGGGAGCTTCGTCCCTGTGGGTACCCGCAGGGCGGGTGGGACACTGGAGGCAGAGAAGAACTCAGCACCCAGGCAGGTACACGTAGGGATTCGTCTTGGGGAGGGGGGACGTCCAGGGACTCGGCTAAGACAGCTCCTGGGCCCCTGGTAAGGCCTGCTATGGTGGGAGTGAGTCAGCAGCTGCAGAGGTGAGCTGGGGGGAGGAATACACAAAGTCCAGGAGTCTGGGAAGCTTCTGTGATTCTGTAGCTAGAACCTGACCTTAACTCCCAAGATAATAAAGTCATGGTCAGCCCATAGCCTCCCACATGCCTCCTCCTGAAAGCAAAGTCCAGTTCTGAGCACAGGCAGGAACGTCCTCCTTGAGACCCTCAGTTAGGGCACAGGTGTGCAGGCCTGCACGTACCTGTGTCGGTGTGGACGCGCCTGTGTGTCCTGCCCTCATCCCACCTGCGGATCCTCAGGGGTCGCAGGCCGGCCCTGGACGCTAACACTGGAGAAGAGTCCTCAGACCAACTACAGGGAGGGGGGTCTCGTGACACCCCCACCCCTCCAGTCCAGGGGCCCCGAAAAGAGCCCTTCTGAACACATTTCCAGGAGGGGTTTCCTTCAATCTGCAGGAACAAGGACGAGGTGGGATGAGGACGCTTTGGTCACTGGCAGCCTGGCCGAGACAAACAAAATGCCCTCACCCTGGAGGAGGTCCCTGAGGGGCCAGGAGGGCTGCGGGGCGATGGACCATGCTTGGGGCTGCTTTGTGACTCCAGGCTCTGCTGGCCTCAGTGTCCACTGTCATCACTGTCCTGTTAGCAGAGGCTCCATGGCTGAAGAGCTGGGAATGCCATACCTGAACACCACAGCAGGTGTGCCAGGTAACTCACCTACAAAGGCTGAGTTAACATGCCAACACCCTCAGTTTGCAGAACCAGGATGGCTGTGGATCACAGGTGATGGGCGTTGGTCACTCAACTTACTTTACCCATTGAATCTGAGCCTCGAGCTGTCGCCCGAGCCAGACCTGATGTTGGACCGTATCCACCAAAATGTTGCTCCAGGGACTTTGCCAAACTTTTAGCACACAAAGTCAAAGGTGACGCGGCTCTGAGTTTCTGTACCTGACTTCTCTCCCAAGCTCACACGCCAACAAAAACCTTGTGTTACAGCCAAGCTTTAGATGAAGGGACCTCACAGCCCATGAGTGAGTCATGAGGCTAAGAACAAGGGAAAGCTGTGGGTGGGCAAGGCAACCTGACAATATTCAGCGTTTTCTACTAAGTAACCAGTGAAATGATATGTAATATGGAAATGATGAAAAATTCTTCCAAGATATCCCTCAGGAAAGTCCGTGCCCCAGTGGAGGCATTTTCTCCTCCAAAAAGAGAGGTATAGGCCTCCCCCCATTTATCCTACAATTCACCCAAGTTCCTGGAAACAGTTCATAAATAAATGGTTTTGTGGAAAACATGACTATTTTATACAATAAATTTTTAAAAAATCTTACAAGTTGGCTTTCCTACACTTTGGGAATGGAGCAGAAAGGTGGTGTGTAGAACTTTCTGGAGTGTGAACGACCACACAAGAGATGCCAGCACTAGAAGTGCGAGTCTTACACACACCTCTCAGCTGACGCCCCGCCACCGGAGGCAGGGCAAGGAGCCCTGTGGCGACCGAGGGGGCCCTGCATTCGGAGCCCGATGGGCTGCCTGCCCTTGGGAAGAACCCAGATCCCTCCGGTGACAGAAACAAAACAGCAAAACCAATTAGGAAGGGCCTGCCCGATAGAGGTGGGCAGTTCGCACCGGAACCCCAGGACGCCTGTAGAGAGAGGCAGGCAAGTGACAGAGGACAGAGGCCACTGTCACTAAGACAGGCTTTGATGGATAAAATGGTAGAGGAAATAATTGCTTTTTTTCTTTCCCTTTTTCTATCCCCCTCCCCAAACATTCCAGTCTTAAGCTGCTGGATAAACAGAAAGTAGAATCAGCCTGATAAAAAGATGTGGCTGAGACATCTAGAATCGGCGACAGTGCGGCATTCCGTGTTAATGAGTCCCTGCTTCTCACCCATCCATATCCTCCAGTGAAGTGGAACTGGCTGTCTCATTTGTCCTTCCATTGGACCTGTGAACTCAGCAGAGGAGCCTCAGGGGAGCCCGCAAGTGCCTGTAACTGCAGGCGGCAGCGCCCTGCTGGCCCCGGAGGCCCAGGGCCCACTGCAGGCACTTGCTCTCCCGGGAAAGGGCCCTCCCCCTCCACCCTTCCCTCTCCCACCTTGAGTCCTGCTCTGCTTGTGCTCAGCAAACACCTACTCTCAAGCCTCAACATCACACTCACTGATTCCCCTTCCCTGAACCCCAGCTGGGCCCAGAGTACTTGCTCAAAGTCCGCCCCCCTGCGTCCTCCCATTCACCTCTGCTAGACTGGCTTTTGCATTCCCAGTCCCAGATCTGAGAGAAGATCAGCCACAGCGCCAGCCCCACCCTCCAGCTCAGTGGGGTGGAATTGCAAGGGGTGACTCTCCCCCTTCTCCTCCTTTGGCGGTGGGGGTTGCAACTCACCGACAGCCACTGGGCGCATCTTCTGGGTGCTGCTGCGGGCCCTCCTGGCCGTAGGCAGCAGCTCCCAGTGGTCTGGGGACCTCCTACCAGCTATGCGGAGGACCGGGAGGAGGACCAGGCAACTCACTAGCTCTGGAGCAGGTGGCGGGGAGGGCGGGCAAAGGGAAGACATGGGCTGGGCAGGTGCGGATGGGGAATTGGCAGGCTGTGTGGCAGGTGCACTGGGTGGAGCCCAGGAGCTCCCTGTCTGTAGCCCCTGAGCTCTCTGCTCCTTGACTAGGGGCCAGACAGAATGAACAGGGTTTGTTCTGAATGGAGAACACTGTGGCTTTTAATAGTTCATGGACCCAGGGCCCAAATTTAACATCTCACAAAGGGAAATGGCTGCAAAGATAAACAAGACTTGAGCCTTTTAAACGTCAAAGCCGAGTTCCAGTAGCCCTGGGCCACCACCCCAGGCCTCTTTGCTTCTCCCAGATCAGCTTCCCCGCCCACTGCTTTACCACAGCCCAGCATGGGTGCATCACCTCCTGCTACTTTCTTTCCATGGTGGGGGTCAGGGGT